GATATCAGCTTGGAACGGCCAGATTTGCTTGTAAGAAAATTGTCACTAAAGAGCACACCTGCAATTCTGAGGCCGGTATGAAAAAACACAGACATGCATAACCAAAAAATTGAGTTGACTGGACATCACTTTAATCACCACTCCAGACAATAGGATATTTTGATTTGCAGTGGCTAATAGAGACATTTTATTCAACCAGTTTTTCTTTTCATATTCCATAAACCTGCTGTTAGATTTATCAACAGTGTTGTGCATTTTATTGAAGGAGTTTTTATTCCAGTTTAATCAGAGCTGTCCTGATATGAACATGACAAAAGTTTAACATGGTCACAGACAAGAATTATACAATCTTGTCTATGGTATGTAATGTATATAAGGGGTTCACACTGGACTTCACTGCCAATCACAATATCGTAAGATTTTGGGAAACCTGAATCAACTTTATTGAGATGACACCCTGGCCCCATCCAAAGAGGGAAAAGAAAGCCAGATGACCCGTAAGGTCATCTGTATTACTCAACAAAACTAGCAACTCACAACAGAAGAAAAAGAGAAGAGTCAGAGGCAGGGGAGTGATAATTATATCAGCAATGAAGTATTGTTAACATTGGGGTGGGTTATAGGTCTTCAAACCACTCATTCGTATAAGCTCAGAAGTCCATATATGCTGACATTTTTATTTCCCTATCTGAAACATAAACAAAGAAATTTCTAAGTAGTTAATGGATTTGATTGGGGTGGAAGTACTTGTTAGGGTCTCAACTATTGGCAAATAGTTAACTCCCCAACTGTGGTCAAAACACTATGAAAGCATAAAAATACCAGCCACACATTTTCATAGTAAAAGAAAAAAAATACCAGCAATACATTTGTGTAAAAAAAAACAAAATTAGTAGAAATACATTTTTGTAAAAGAAACTAGTGCTCCCAAGAAATTTCGGCATTAAATGACCCATGAGTTGATATGCCACTAAAAAAAAAAACTTATAGAGCCTAGAAGTAAATTGCAAATTAGTTTTTATTAGAAAAACAAACATGAAGTTAAAAATCTGCAAAATTTCATCATCCCATTGCTCTACAGGTATAAGGATTAGTTATATATATACAATTTATCTGGTGATTGTTAGTTCAATCCCCGCATCAGGCAGTGAAAATTCATTTTTTTTTTTTTTTTTTACAGTGAGGTTCACCCTGTAGAGGTAGAAGGTTACAGAATAAGAGACACAGTTTATATGGATATGTGGTGAAGATAATGGTTAACCCTAGACTTGAACAGGTTATGATTGTAGTAATTGGGGAAGCATCCTCTTGGGAGTCACTCAAGGTAGAGGGTTACAGAGTAAGAGGCACAGTTTATGCGGATATGTGGGGAAGATAACGGTTAACCCTAAATTTGAATAGGTTAAGATTGTAGTGATCAGCAAAACATCCTCTTGGGAGTCAGTTCCACAGAGAAGTGGTTCACAGGAAAAAGCTGCTCAAGTGAAACTTACTTCTTACCAATGGAAGACAGAGGTTTGATAAAATGCCAGTAGCATCACAGGTCCTAGCCATGAAGGTTAAAACTGGCAAAACTAAGGAATGTAGTTCATCTTTCCATCGAGCAGTGAGAGGCTTGCAATGTTTCATCTATGAGGGTAAGGTTACAGGATGGAAAATAATTTGTCACCCACATTTGGACTCTATCGAGACTGGAAAGTGAGGACTGGGCAGCTCCTGATCAAATATGACGGTAGTACATTTGTAAATATGGCAATAAAGTGACTCATACAAATTATCTTTTTTTGTTTTCCAGTGCATATAAAAATATGTTTCAATTATATTGTAGTCTGTTAAAGATGCAATAGCATTATGTTGAAAATTGAAAAAAAAACAAAACAAAAAAAAACAAACAAAAAACTATATACATACCTTAATCACAAAACGCTTTATTGTTTTAAAAAAAACAGTCTTTATCATCCAAGCTGGTTGACAAAATGGCACCAATTGACTTGTTCAATGCAGGGTTGCTACAAATATTCAATTTGTACAAAAAGCACGATTTCTGTAAGGTATAGATAAAGTGCAATTATACAAAGTATATGTCTATTTTTGTTCAGTGGAACAAGTGCATGTGGTGTCACAAGGATAAATTAACTAAAAAATCTTCAAGCATAGACAGAGTGAGAACAGTCTAATCCCATGAATGAAATAAAGGGTTCAGTTTGAAATTCCAAGAATGTTGTCAAATATGGAAGGCACCTGAAGAAGGCCAAATGGTATAATGTTTGAAACATTGTGATGATGACAAATAAGACAAGGACAACAGTTTAGATTCCTTAGAAGTGTATATCGAATTAATCTTTGTTTTTGTTTTTTTTTAAATAGATTTCAGAATCAGAATAAATACCATAATCTTATAAAGGTAAATTTTTTTTGTAAACATTAATTTCAAACATGATATTTCCTTTCAGATATCTTGGAACCTGTTTTACTCTTGAAACTTCCCGTCTCTCTTTCCAAGGCAAATTTAAAGTTCCTTAGAACCTAACTCAAAAATATAAAAAATATGCATTCAGAAAAAAAAAAATCATCTAGTCTATCCTATGACTTTGTATATTTATCAGTCAGCCCATTTGATCTTTGGTAATGAGATATTAAGTTGTTATGGTAACAGAAAATTACTTGACATCAATAAGTGAACATCTTACTCAACCATAACAATAGAATATCTTATTAGCATGTAGGGGAGATCTAGTAATTTTTTATATTAGTGTTCATCCTGTACAAAACCTAAGAGCCACTCAAAGTAGAGCATTACTGAATTATGTTGCATGAGCATAAGGTGGTAATAAGTGCAGTATGAGGATATGTAGAAAAGATAACAGTTAACCCTAGACATGAAGAAGTTAAGATTGTAGTGATTGAGAAAACATGGAAAGAAGCTGTGGAACTTTTTCTTACTAATGGAATACAAAGCAAATGATGATGATTCGTCCCAGTGTATGTGGCATAGTGGATCTTAGCAGTGAAGGTCAGGACTAATGGAATTAAGGAATATAGCTTGCCAAAACATTTACCATGGAAACAGCAATAGAGTAGCGAGAGGTTTGCGCCATTTTGTCTGTGAGGAAAGGGGTTGTAGAGTAGGAAACAATTCACCACCCACAAGGATGCAGAGATACTTTTAGATTCTATTGAGACTGGAAAGTGGGGAGTGGGCAGCTCCAGCTTAGATATGGCAGCAATACTTCATTTTTGATCTGATCTGGTTCTTATAAAGATAGACCATAGCAGGGAGGGGGGGTCAGGTACTTATTGGAGCAATACAGGGAAATGACCATTTTTCAGCTTCTTTAGCAATTGATCATATATATATGAGTTCCACTTGAATCGCAATAATCATTTAACAAAGCAAGGAGCCTTAAAATGCAACTTTCTATATACCGTTCATTATTGTATTTGTTTCAAGCTTTGAGTCCCAATGCACTGATTTTTTTGTGCTAGAGTTCTTTGCATATTGTTAATTTTTAATGATTTCAAATGTAACAAAAGAGTTAATTGTATAAATGAAAATCCTTGATCACCTACAAAATTGCAAAATTATTTAAATATTGTCCCATTTTTTGGACATAGAAACAAGTATATTTAGATAAGTGAAAAGTCACATATGAAAACCTAATTATAGTAAGGGTTTAAAATATATGGTTATTTTTTTTGGACAGCATGGGCAAACTAGTATTAATATGAGATTCTACTTGACATAAAGTGGTGCAGGGCAGTTTTCTATTTTTAAGTAATAAGATGAACCCACCTAACAAAAAAAGCTGTCATTTTTAATGACATGGGTAAACTAGTACAGGTCAATGCCATTAAGCTGTGCACCAATAAACCACGATGTCACTTAAACTGTGCATGCATGAAGGACCCAAAAATTTTTTGTCATGTTCAAATTAGAATCATAATCAATGGATCCCAATTTGAAAGAAATTCAAACTTGATTGTGACACTTTTTAAAGTCTGATTTTTTTCTGTATAATCTTTTATTTTAATAAATTCATTGAGTTTTAATATCTTCAGTATATCTGTATTTTCCCCAGGCATTTACTATTGTTTAGGCTTTGGCATTTCATACTCACAATTGTGTAGTGGTTTGGATTAGCACATCATGGGCATTTTGAGTGTGAAATATGTAGCTTACAACCTTTATACTAAGTTAAAAATTTCACATATTTACTTAATGGGATTTGCTCTAATATTGATAACATGCTTTTCCAAATAATTTATATAATTTGCAGAGAAGAGCCATTTTATGTATAGGTAAATTTATTAAAAATGTTGTTTTGTATTAATTTCATAAAATTTGTATTGTACATACCTGTTCTTGTACATAAATGCTACTACATTGAATTGTTATATTATTTTTATTAATACATTACAATACAATGTATTGTAATGTTTTTATTCAAAATCTTAATAAAACTATAAAAAAATTAATTTAATTTTTTTTTTGTTAAAATGTTAAAATCTTGTGCATATGAGATTTCCGCCATCTTTTGCTGTCATCAACAATGGATCTATTGACATGGTGCTTTATAATTGGAATTATTTTAGGCCATTGTCTTTCAAATTTATTCACATTGGTGCAGATTTTTATGTGAAATTAAAAGATAGTTTTAAGAAATGTTTTTCAAAACTGCCAATATTCAACTCTTAGTATTGAATATGCATGTTGCATGCTTAGCTGCATTTTCGTGGATAACTCCATGGACTTGACAAGCTTTGTTTAGGTGGTCTAAGCTGGCAATCCTGGTATCATGGCTCACTTTTGATCTAATCTGCAGACCATCTAAACTGCCGATAGAAGTTTTGGAACCCAACTACCACAGTTTATTGGTGCTGACCTGTATATTTCTAAACTTAAAGACTAATGTGTGAAAACTTGGTAATAATAAAATATGCCTTCATTTTTTAACAAAGAAAGAAATGAGAAATACTGAAAAAGAAAGAATGAGGTGACATTAAGAAAGAAAGAAAGAGGAGATAGAATGAAAGAAAGAGGAAATATTAAGAAAGAAAGATAATATTATCTCGACAGACAATTCTATGATCTCTGTTGAGAAACAATTCAACCTGATTCCTATTTACAAAGCCAGTCTGGTTATAACAGACAAGAACTAGAATTATACTAGAATTCTATCTTCTCTGTCATCTATATAATAAATATGAATGTCAGTGTGTCACTCTTTTTCAACTTTACTCCCAGAGGCCATAGCCCAACATATTTGGAATCAGGCCAACTCCATGAGCAAATTAAAAACATTCAAGACCAGATCCGGACCCACAATCCTGAAATTTTGAATTCCTAAGTTTTCATTACTGCGATTGTTTTTGTTGATTTTTTATGTGATTTTTTGGGGATAATTTTTTTTTGTACAATAACAATTTTTATAACTTGGGAATAAATTTGGGAATAATCAAAATTAATTGTGAAATCCAGTGAAAGTCACCCATGAAATAAAAATAATTTTTTGTACAGAAAGTAAGGACCTATGTACATCAAATTGTCTTTATATTAAATAGCAGCAGAAGAATTATCATTGAACTTTTAAAAGGTAAGCTTAAATATTAATGCAATGCTTAAATGCAGTGATCAATTTTGAATGCTGCCTGATAGGTTAACTTTTAAACTAATTTGTAATAATTGTAAAATATCTTCTTTGACATCTTTTTTTTCTTTTGTTTTATTATTTATTTTTCTCCTTTCATATGTGTTTGAGTCCCTAAAATACAAATCCATACTGTATACACCCTCAGCAATTTGTCTTGTTCTATAGTTCAGCCATTTTTATAAACTTATGAATGAAAACAAATTTGTGATATAATATTCTTGATAAAATCCAAAGAAGAATCTGCAATGTCATTGGTCCTGACCTGGCATCTCAGGTTCAGTCACTTTCCCATTATTGTAATGTAGCTTCCCTGTGCCTTTTCTATAAATTCATTTTTCTGGTAAACTTGCCTCTATGGTATGTAGACTTTATGAATTTAAGTGCAGTACTAGATTGATGGCAAGATCTCATCATTTTATGTTGAAATAGCCAAATGTAACTGTAACTTCTATGCTGTTTCTTTTCTCCCATTTCTTACTTGTGAAATTCTCTTCCAGCCTCTTGCTTTCCAGTCAAGTTTGATGTTCAAAAATTTAAATGCAATGTCAATTGTTATCTTCTGTCTACTTAATGTCTGTTATTTTATTGTTCTCTCTGCTTAATAATGTATTATTTTCTCATATTCTTTCACACTCACTAACCCTCTGCATCTTAGTGGCTTTGTTGCCTTGCTTGGGGTGAAATGATTAGAAAAAAATGCTACATATTAAATATTGCTTTGTAGTTCATTCAACTATTTTATAATCTTGTAAATGTAAAATTATTTTTATAAATAAACAGTCTAATAAATAGTGTTTGACATTTTTGTTGTCACTTCTCTAGAAAAAATGTATAAATCCAATTTCATATGTTTGGGCTTTATTAAAATTCTAAAAACAGCTTTTTAAAATAATAAAAACTGCAGAGGGAGTATACAATGGTGCTGAGAGAAAAAAATGTCCTTTTGACACACCATTTTTTTTAGCAGGTACATTTGTTAAACTTTGCCATATGATCATTTATTCTGATTTCCGAATTTTGATAAACTAAATCAAAGATAAGTATATTCTATTTCCATTCAGTCAGCTTGTAGCTTCATGAACTTCATTCTTGGTCAAGAACTCTAAGACATTCCATTGCAAATGCTTTGATTCTTAATATATTTGAACCTTGCTTATTATTGTCATCAAATTCTGCTCCCAGATTCCATTCTTGAAATTTCATATTTTTATTTATCTGGTTGCAAAATTCTAAGAACTTTCTTGTTCTTCAAGAAAGAGTAGCTGCTCAACCAACATTCCATTATTGGATTTCTGCAAAATTTCCTCCAAGCCTTTCATTTCTTCTAGACTTAGGCTGGAATCATTCATTTTTTCATGATGAACTTGCTTCAGGTATTGATAGACTTGTTTAAATATCTCCTCTCCAAGAGCACCGATACATTCTCTGGTCACCTTGGTTAAGGAAAAATATTTTATATTATGTCTGCTTATTTTTAAAAAAATCCATTCATACTCATGAATAACCTTCTGTGTATTGAAATTAAATGATTTGAGAAATGTGCTATAAGTATGAAAATCACTTTTATTTTCCATTTCCCAAGTACTTTTGATCTTCTTTCAAGATCATCTTCAGGGGAGTAAGTAGTAATACAAAACTGTGTTGCTATTCATTACTCTAATTTTTTTCTTTTTCCTTTTAAATGCAACGGTTGACAGTCATGCTTAGCATTCATTAGAACATGAAAAAAATTATACACTATGGAATTTTTTTCTTCTATGACCATGACATTACAACATAGAAGAAAAAAATTAGCAGATATAATGTCTGTAATTTATTTATTTTGAATCCTAATAATATAAAATATTAAAAATGATCCACAAAAAGAGATCAATGTATTTATTATAACAGAGCATATAAGTTACATAATGGAAAAATCCAAAACTACCTCATGAGAATACTTATAACAACTAATCTTAAAATGTTAGCATTTTTCAACTCAGATTTGGGTCGAAAAATGCTAATGTTTTAATGTTAGTTGTCATAGCTATTCTCATGAGGTAATTTTGGATTTCTCCATTATGTAACTTATACATATATATATATAATTAATAATCAAACAAATCCTTTTAACTCATATGTGGAGTAGGCTATTTTGGCAGATGGAATGAAGTTCATGCCGTCTGCCGAAATAGCCTATTCCTCATATGAGGTAAAAGGATTTGTTTTATTATTAATTATATTGCACTGTATAAATAAAATACATCGAGCTCTTTTTTGTGGATCAGTTCTAATATTTTTAGATTACAAGGATCCACTTGAATTATATACCAAATTCTGTCTATCAATTTTTTATTAAATTTTTAAAATTTCGAAATTAGTTGTTTTATGTCATCTGTAAATTTGCCAAAGTTTATATTTATTTTTATCTTATATTATCCCCACCCCATATACTTTTGAATGTTGCTACGTTCATTTTCAAGGATTGTTCTGTGTATATTTATGCAACTTTTTTTTAATTCTGCCATTCTTATGTTTGATGGAACAAATTTCAAGTCACTCAAAGTGGGAATGGCAGAATTAAAAACAGCTGCATAAATATACAAAGAACAATCCTTGAAAAGGAATGTATAAACATTCAAAAGTACTTGGAAAAAAATAATATAAGATAAACAGGAACTTTGGTAAATTTACTCAATATAAAACAAATAATTCAGAAATGTGAAAAATTTATTTTAAAAAATTGATAGAACTTGTCTATATTATTTAACCAAATGTCTGAAATAGTTACTGCTAAAATAAAATATATATATATATATATATATATATATATATATATATATATATATATATATATATATATTGAGCACTTTATCCCATAAATATAGCACAACTTAAAACTATATATATATATATATATATATATATATATATATATATATATATATATATATATATATATATACAGTAGCAGCCATAATTGTAATGCATAAATATTATACAAAGTTACAAAAATTTACATAATAGTTTTTTTAAATAAAGATTAAATGGAACAAAGGAAATAAGCTACTGGACAAAAGTTAAGGAACGATGTTAATAATTTGATAAACTTTTAATTTACATTGTTAAAAAACTCGAAGGAGCTTTTCAACAATAAGTAAAAGTTCATTTATCATTAGGACTTTATTTTTAAGCAATATGGCAAATTCTACATGCAAAACGCTCTCTTTTGAAGAAAAAAAAACTCATTATCGCTATCAAGAAAAAAGTCAATTTCAGAAATTTCTGATTTTGTTCATAGGTCTAAAAGTGTCATTCATTGTGTAATTAGCAGGTATAAAACCGATAAAACGTTAGATGCAAATCCAAAAACCGACAGACCTCCAAAAACATCGCAAAGAGAAGATCGAAGAATTGTTAGAATATCTACAAAAAAACGTTTTGGAACTGCTACATCAATTGCCCATAAATTTAATGAAGAGACAGATAGTAAGATTTCAAGGAAAATGGTTGCTCACAGGTTAAAAAATGCAGGATTGCATGCCTGTATTCCCGCTTTGAAGCCTCTCATTTCAAAGCGAAACTAAAGGGCATGCCTGGAGTATGCGAGAGAACATGTTATTTGGACTGACGCACAATGGGATACAGTTCATTTCAGTGACGAGTCCAAGTTTACTATATCTGGTTCTGAGGGCAAAACTTATGTACGCCGTAGAACAGGTGAAAGACTGTCTTCTCAATGTGTCAAGAAAAACGTTAAGTTTGGTGGCAGCAGTGTGATGGTGTGGGGAATGATTTCATCTGCAGGAGTTGGCCCTATCCTTCGCATACATGGCAATATCAATGCTGAGATTTACAAAAGACTTTTTCAGCAGCATGTGGTACCAAGATTACACCATAATCTTTATTAAATTTCCTATTTTCATGCAGGACAATGCACCTTGCCACAAGGTTCAGAAGGTTATGGCTTTATTTGAAGAAGAAGGAATCGCCCTAATGAAGTGGCCAGACCAGAGCCCCGACCTAAATTTAATAGAAAATGTTTGGAAGATAATTGGAGAAAGGGCTCAGAAAAGAAACCCGAAAAACCAGGATCACCTATGGGAGTTATTGAAAGACAAATGGGAGGGAATTACTGCTGATTTTTGCAAGAAATTAATTAGATCATGTGGTCGACGATGCAGAGAAGTCATTGAAAATAAGGGGATGTTTACCAAATATTAAATTTTGTTGATATTTTGTTCACAATCAAGTATTAACAAGATCGTTCCTTAACTTTTGTCCAGTAGCTTATTTCCTTTGTTCCATTTAATCTTTATTTAAAAAAAAACTATTATGTAAATTTTTGTAACTTTGTATAATATTTATGCATTACACCCTAATCTTTATTTGGTAAAAATTTCATTGCTAATCATGCATTACTTTTTAAATAATACATATTTATGTCTTTGTTGTTTCCGTTCCTTATATTATGGCCGCTACTATATATAAGTTGCACACCATAGGGATAATTTATTAAAAGTATAATTATGCAGGAAAATTTTACTTACGAGTTATTTAATTGTTATATATGCTGTTCAAAATGTCCTCTTCCTTTTTCAAAATACATTTCAATTCTGTGCCAGCATGATTCATTAACATGTCAGAGAGTTTTCCGCTGCATTCATATTTAGTTCTTTCTTTAGGTTCCTCAATATTTCTTGGGCGCGTCTGATAAACGACTGATTTCAAATGGCCCACAGAAAAAAAATCCATGGTTGCCTTCAGTGGTGACTCAAAATGACCTCCTATGCATTAACACCTATGGTGTGCCTTACCCTGTGTGTGTATATATATATATATATATATATATATATATATATATATATATATATATAAATATATATTAGACTGGATAGTTATTGTGAATATTAATATTAAATGATAAAATTTAATCAAGTAACCAAATTGAAGCAACTTTTTTCAATGAGTAAATTCTTCAACAAAATCAATATTTTTTTTTTATTAAAATAAGGCCATTTTAATGATAGAATCATAAGAGCTAATGGGTTGAAGTGATCTTAGAATATTCTGATATGGCTTCAAAATCCCCCCCTGTAATTGGTCAAATTTAAAAATTGTCTTAGGTGGGGGGTTGCCCCCAACTGTATGAACACTTTGAGCCCATATTTATTTATTTAAATCACTGTGACAATAGAATGCAGATTTTATCACAGTTACAATATGTATTACAATATGTTTGTCTTTGTAATTTCCCCCTGAAGATGATCTTAAAAGGGTTGAAAGTACTTGGATTAAAAAAAACTATGGCACCTTCCTTGATGAATTTCATCTTAACATCAAGAAACTGATTAGACAACTGGAAAGGGTTAGTACAAAATATGTCTCTATTATTCAATGAAAACACACACATTATATATATATATATATATATATATATATATATATATATATATATATATTGAATATATTACAAACATTATGTCTAAAATTTCTTGCTTCATTTGATTGTAATATATGGAAAAATGTTTGTGAATATGAAGAGATTAAGATAAAAATAAGCAGATATAATGTTTGTAATTTATTCAATCAGACATGCCTAAAAGAGAATTTGCTGCCTAAACACACACACACACACACACACACACACACACATATATATCTTAGCTCAGCACCTGAAGATTGTGTTGTGCATGTGCTACCAGTGAGAAAGTGATTTAAAAAAATGTATTGCATATTTATTTTATTATATAGTTTATATATATATTATATTGCATATTTTAAATCAAGCACTATTTGTAAATTTACATTGAGCACTATTTTGTAAAAATAAAATATCTATAAGAACACGGATTTTATATACTGTTCTTTCTTTTATTTATATATATATATATATATATATATATATATATATATATTAATGTATTTTTCATTTATTAATCTGCCATTTTATTTATTGCATGTGTGTATGTGTGCATGCACATATTATACTTCACGTATTTGAAAATATATGATGAAAATATTCTTTCAGAAACTAAATTCTGATTGGTTGAAAAATTGACAAGAAAGAAAATGATATCGCACAATTCTGTTATTTTCAGAAAGGATACCGTCTTAAACTTTTGATTTTGTTATTTCTGGCTTTAGGTCCAAATGCTCCTGTGTTGTCAATGGTAAGTGTGCTGTCATTATCTGAAAAATAAATTAAAAAAAATTTAAACCATCAAATTACCCCTAAAGGATTTTAGATATACAAGTAACTTAAAGGTTAGCAGCTTAGCACAAGAATTTGAATTCTGGTTGAATTTGTTAAATTCACATTTGCTATGGATTAAATAGTTTGGTAGGCAGCTTGTATTCTGAATTCAAAAATACTGCCACCTAAAAATGTACAAAGATGATTTAATGTAGAGTGCAGATCGCAGTGGAGAGTGATTATCCTGAAAGCTGTTGATACCAATATTATTTATTTATTTATTTATTAATCTGATATATTTTATTACTTAAATATTATTTTTAGTTGATACCCATATTTGAGTAGATGTGCTGTTTATTTTGAATAATATTTTATTTTGTCAACTGGCCTGAACGTTCGAGAAATCTTATCAAAGAAAATGCGCCCACCAGCAAGATTTAAACATGTGTCCCCCTTCGCAGGAGAAACTGTTATTTGATCTGACATGACCAATCAAGGTTCTATTAGCTCTTCATAATTTTCAGCATCCCAACTCTTTCATGCAAATGTGTAGTCACATCAACTTTAGTCCGATGAAGTCATAAAGGATGAAACATGTCACATGAAAACTTTTTTTTTGTCATAGTCTTTCCCTAAAATACAAAAATTTAAATAATTTCAAAATGGCTGCAAAATATGAATTCATAGGAATGTAACAGGGCACTGATCCTGTCCAATGTTTAATTGCATGAAATCGTTGGAAGGACTTCTATTTGGATAATAATTATTAAAATTCTCAGAAGAGTAGATTGAATGGTTGGGAGAAAGATGGAAAAAAGTTAATAGTTATGTTTTAAACAATAAAATGAATTTAAAAATGGTTCCAAAGAGAATTAAACCAGAAATAACTCATCAAGATTCAATAAAATTGAGCAAAACTAAATTTTTCCCCAACCTATCCACTTCTCTCTGATAAGAAAACATAATTAATGTATTGTCTGAATTACTTGGTCCTGAGACCCAAAATTTGGGATTTGTTTCCATTAATACTATTCACCCAAAACACTTATATTCTTACAAAAAAAGAATGACCTAATTTCTTTAACAAAGGAAGCCAGATAGTTTATGAAAAGATTTCCTAAGCTAAGGTGATCTGAAGTGGAAAAATTAGATATATCAATGTCAAATTTTTTTGTCGGGGATCTCTACAATAAAGACTCACAGGGCCCAGACAGAGTCATCTCAGTCTGAGGTATGACAATAAACTACATTTGACAGTAACGCCTTTGGTCAGGAGACTGGAGTTTTTGAGGAGTGTAGAACCACCTCTTAATTGCTGTTGTTTCCAGGTTCACCCAGACCCAGGGTGGTAGCACCTGTTAGGGTCCTAGCTATGGGCATATAGTGAACCCCCTTCCCAAACAAAACACTATGTAAGTATAAAAATACATTTTTGTAGTAAAAATACTGGCAATACATTTTTATATAAAAATATTACCAACAATACATATTTATAGTGAAATGACCAACCATACATTTTATGTGTAGTTGAAAGCATACAATTGTGTTCAAAATATATTTAGTTGAAGCCATAAAATTGTGTTCAAATTAGTTAGATTTCAGCATTAAATAACCCATAGTGGTTGATATGCCACTAAAGAAAATCAACCAATGTGAAAGAACTCTTTCATGGCATTAATCTATATAATATCTGACAATTTCTTAAAGAAATCAAACTGTATTCCAAAATATAACTTCAACAAAATTACAACATAAAACACATGTATATGCACAAAAGCTGAGTATCATCTACCATGTGTTCAAAATGTGAGAGAAGAATGATGAATATCATTATTTTATTAATTCAAAGCTCCCAAGAAAATTAAATTTCACCATTAAATGACCCATACAAACAAATCAATCAATCAACAGATTCATCTCAGATTTGCTCTAGATTGTCTTGTCACCATTTCAAGAATATACCCACATTCCCATGGCCAAAGCAGACACACACAGTTAAGAAGAATTAAGTGAGAGGTGACAGGCAAGTCTTGAATCTAGCAATTACTGTACTGCAAGATTTCTCAGGCCACCATCCAGCAGGGTAGAACTTAGTCTTTAGATAATAGAGACCTTGTATTCACCAGTTTTAATATTCAATAAACCTGTTGTTAGTGTTATCAACAGTGCGGTCCACTTTATTGAAGGAGTTCTCATTTCCATGTTGTCCTTGGTGTAAAGAATCAACTTACCACGGCTGCAGTCAAGAATTGCTCATTTCTTATCTGTGGTACACAATATGTATTTTGTCTGCCACTAGACGTTGCCATCAACCCTAATATTGTAAGATTTTGAGAAACCCAAATCAAACCTACCGAGATGACACAGAAAGTCAGATGATCCGTAAAGTTGGTGTTACTCAACATGATTAGTGAAGACAGTGACTAAGAAGGATGGTTGAAGGTTACAGGATTTCTTATTTAACTTTTCATATTATTATTATTATTATTTCTCTTTTATTTTTGCGAGTGTTTGATTAGGGGGATCAATTTACAATAAATTTACATTGCAAACTGTTCATAAAACTTACAAAATTAAAAATTAAATGTTTTCTTTTGATAATTGTGATCAGGATGTCACCAATTCTCAATTTGGTATCTATGCTGATGATACAACTATTTACTCCTGTCTTAATGGTAAGTCTGAACAGTTCGGTAAAGTCAAATTGACAGCTGATCTCAAAAATGACATACAATCTGTTGTTAAATGGGGCAAAGAGTGGCTTGTTAATTTTCAAAATGAAACTGCTCTCTTTTAATCATCTGAGAGAACCTATTTTACTTTTCGTCAGCATGGCTGATGCTAACTTTCAGGAGAGTGACTCATTATACTTTTCAGTTGACATAAAGTTGAAAGAATAAGAAGGAAATTACTGGAAAGTAATTGAAACTCACCTGAAGAGAGCTGAATGTTTAATGCTCCTCATGCCAATGACACTTCCACTGAGCTTCACTACGGCTTTTGACTTCACTGAATTTGATGTGTTCCTCTCGAATTTTAAAAGGAACACAATTGAATGAATTGCTAAGTCTGCAGCTAAGAAAGTTGGTTAACTATATTGTGCTAGACAATTTATCTCAACAGAATTTATCTTACATATTTATAAGTCTACCATTGGTCCTTGCTTTAAATATTGCTGTCACATCTGGTCTGGTGCACCTGCTATATATTTAGAGCTCCTTGATAAAATCCAAAGAAGAATCTGCAATGTTATTGGTCCTGAGCTGGTATCTCAGCTTCAATCCCTTTACCACTGCTGTAAGTACTTTCATGGTAATTGTTCTGATAAACTTTCCTTAAATTAAGGTTCTAAATTGATTTGTACATGTATAATACTAATAATATTAGATAAAAATAGTCTTATACCTATATTTATGAATTATATAGTTTGGTAATAAGTTTAATTTTTTTTTTAAATTTATACTAGTATTCTATACTTTATATGTCTTTTTATTTATATTTTAAATTTAAATTTTAATGTAATATTTTAGATAGTTTATTTATTTTGCATGTCTAATATTTTTACTTCTTAAAAGGGTCTTTTATTTACATACTATGTTTAATTCTATTAAATAATGTGTCTGATTTTTTGAATAACATCAAACTTTGATTGTAGCATAATATCAAGGGTGTTCAATGTAGCAGACATTTCCGGTTGAGTTTAAATCTTTCAAGATCGTTGTTTTTTTTTTTTTTATGTTAAGGTTCTTTCATTGGCTGAATTGTTATCAATAACACATAATTTCTTTCTTTCTTTTATCTTTCTCTTTTTTTTTTCTGTATTCATCTAGATCTTTCTCCTACTTGTTTTTCTATTCTCTTCTCTTCTATTCTTTTTTTTCTTCTTTTTCTTTGGAGTTATGACGTTTTGTCTTTTTAATTTTTCTTAACTCTTATATTTCTCTTTGTTCTTTCCCTTTTTTTCCTTTTATTGTCTTCTTATCCTCTTCTCTTTACTTTTACCTGTTTTCTTCTTATTATTATTATTATTATGTTTTCTTTTCCTTTTATGATGTTTCTCCTTATGTCTTTTTAAAAAAAATTTGAAAAAAAGAAAATGACATTTGATAAGTAGCATTTTTAAATAGAATCGTTTATAACCATCTTTGTTCCTCACTTATCGAGATGCAGTTTTGTTTTGATGCGAATGCATCTTTGTCATGAGTACTTGTTTGTAACATCTTTTTAATAATTATTGCTCTACTCTTGGTATTGAGCTCTCTTTTAAATTAATGCTATGAACATTTGAATTTATATTCTTTTTGTTGTTGTTACAATTGTGTGTGTGTATATATATATATATATATATATATATATATATACACATACAACATTTACATATATAGAGAGAGTTTATTCATATATATATATTCAAAAGTTATAGCATAATCATGTTATAACATCACTACAAAAATAGCCATTTTTTTCAACTCTTCTAGTGTCTATATCAAGTGATGTTGTTGATTGTGAATTAAAGAGTTTTTGGGAAAATTCAAAACCAAATCAAATCCCCTCAAAAGTGAAAACCTTGTTATGTAACCTATGACAACCAATCAGAATACAATATATGAAAATTCAAAAAAACATGGCAGTGTATTCTAAACACAAACTGTCATTTGATCAAATATAATGTTAGACTAAACTAGAAATAAATAAGAAATAATTAAGTTTTAATTTCAAGGTAAAATTAAACCTTCTAAATTAAACCAACCATTAGGTTTAAAATATTACAAAGTTATTCAAAAATGGAATGGAGGAAAAGAAAATATATATATATATACATATATATATTATTATTATTATTATTACTATTCTTAACTAAGTGCCAATTTATCTGATAAATTTAATGTTGATGTGAAAAGTAAATGCTACAAACATTTAGCACAAGTGAGTTAGATAATGCAGATGACATGACAAACACATTCACATCCTAATATATATATATATATATATATGAAAATTACAGGAATAGTATGGGCTAACCACAGTATCTAAAAAAATATTTTACAAGCTTAATAAAGTAATCAGTATAATTTTAAGCAAATTATAGAGCATGTTTCAAGAAAGGATAAGAAATAGAAATAGACTCAAATGCAACGCAAAGAGCTCCAAGACTCTAGCCTTGTGCCAAACTAAGGAAAGTAAATATAACTGTGCCTACCATAGCACAATTTTTAGCTAGTTTGTTAAGCATAACAATTTATTAGTCTTATGATTTTGATCTATACTTGGAACAGCATGACTGTAGCCTTGTGACAGACCAAGTTAAATATAAACAACAGAAAATCACTGTTGTTTTTAAGAAATCCTCAGTTTTATGCAATATTTTATAACAAATGATTTTCGGGAATTCTTAGATACCACCATGTCTGCCCAATAGGAATATAAATCCTGATATCTACCTTGATCAGGGCCATTAAGTGCAGACTGCAAACATCCCAAAAACATTTCCATATCTTGGTTCGTCTCATCTCCATTGAGAGTTTGTAAAGGTTTTAGAGTTTCATCTGCCTCATCATCTCTGTCTGGTTCAAAATCATCAATGTAATATGTTTCAGCCAATTGTGGAGTGGTTGGAATTCCTGAAATCAAAAGAGTAAAGTTTAACCTTTGTATCTGGAAAAAAAAAAAAACTGTGTCAAAAGGCCATGTTTTTTCTCTTGACACCATTATTACTGTATACTCAGCAATGAGGATGCAGCATTTAAGTGAATATTACAAAAATTATAATTTTCTGAACTTACCATCTTCAAAATCATTGTAAAGATTTTGTCCAGAGGAAAATGTCTTGTGCAGTGGTGTTATTGGCCGGTCATCAGGATTAAAGTTTGCAACTCCTGAAGGCGGTGTTAAAGACCAGTTTAATGAATCCCAGGAGATGGAAGAATCCATAATATGGATTTCTGGATAAAATATATGCATATATATATATATATATATAAAACATGAAGATATATGTGCATACTGCAATAAATGTCTTGGAAGTTTGCTTCATTAAGCTACACTAGATTCTTCTATTTAAAGACATGTCTTCTTTGAATATCAGTTTCTTGAAGATTTTTTTGATCTCTGCAAGTTTTCTTTTTGTCACAACAATAATATTTTATTCCTTTTTATTGCATAAATATAATTTGAAGTAAAGAATAATTGATATTAGTGTAACAGTGCAGTGGCCCTGACTGAGTGATACTAGTGTGTAGAGATACAAAAGGTGATTCTCTCTCTTTGGTTGAGTAACTTCATAGAGTGACAAAAGTAGTCAGCTTCTAGGAGTCAAAGCAAGCAGTTGCTTTTTTAGCTGAGTCCCCTCAGCCCAAGCTGAGGCTAAATTTACCTCCCCCAGCCAGCTGCCATGTAGTGCAGCTCACAAGCCTATGACACCATTTTTATTTGGAATATATCTTCACCATCTTTTCCATCTGTGAGGAGATTGTCCAGCATTCATTGTCATATATGAAAACTTATATTACATAACAATTCAGTACTCTTTTTTTTTTGTTTTTAATGGAATTTTCCTGTTTCTTAATACTTTGCTTAGCTTTTAGAAGGCATTTTTCCTCTTCCACTATATGCTTGGATTTTGGTGTTACATTTCATTAGAAACAAAAGAAAGAGTGATGAACTGCTATGTCATATCAATCATCCTATATGGCAGTGAATGCTGAACAATCTCTTCAAAGATGAAGAAGAGACTTGAGGCAACAGAAATGTGGTTCTACAGAAGGATGCTGAGAATACCATGGACGGAGTGCATAAGCAATTAAGTCTTGAGTAAAATCAAAACAAAAAATGACATTTTCTTGAACACATAATGTGGAAGGAGGGCTTGGCGAACTTGGCACTCACAGGACATAATGAAGGTAAAAAGGACAGCTTTTGTGAATGGATGGTGAAACAGTGGGTTGGAGGGAAGGCAAAAAAGACAAACATTATTAAGAGTTAAAAGAGATAGTGGAGAGCTATGATTGTTCAAGTTCTGAAGGAACATGACACATAGGTGAAGAAGCAGTAGTCTAATATCAAATAGACCTCAATACAAGCATTGGATATTTTTGGAATCCCGTTTCACTGTGCTTCTTTAGTTTCTATTAACTTCATTTACCTGAGATGGCTGTTGACACTGTAACAGGAAGAGCTATGGTAGAAAGATTTATTCTCCCAGTTGAATTTCCCCCATTAAGGGCTTTATTTTATCTGTGATATAATAACACCATAGTTCATGGATGGAATGGAATGGCTGAAAGGAAAAGGAATGACAAACATGCATTGTTCTCAGAGAGACTTTTATATCACTAAGACATACACAAAACTATATATACATATATACAAATGTCCCATGCAGAGAAATTACATCACATAGTAAAGCAATGTGTAAGGAAAAACAAAAGGAAGGGTCATACATATATGGAGATACTCCTGTGTTTGGAGAAGCCATGTTTAGGACTCCAGATTCAAATGGGCCAGATTCATCTATGTTTCAGACAAGAACATATTTCACAAATGGGAAACTGAGTTGTTGGTTTTCCCAAATTGAGGACTGCGAGCTGGAGTTTCTTTCTATATCTGGGAAAGATATATTGCCAAAGGGTAACGGTGCCATAGACTTGTAAGCTGTGGGGGAGTAAGAATTAGCCTTTGCCTTGGGGGACCCGAGCTAAAGAAAGCAACTCTATGGTTTAGTTGCTGTAAACAAACTAAATTTGACTGCTGTTATCATCACTGTATGGAGAGATGTCATTAAGCAGCTATCACGTGACCCATATAAATTATCTCCACCAAGGGGAGATAACTATCCCTACAACACCATCTCTCAAAGTTTTCTTAGACTGTCCTTTGTCACAAACTCCCTTAATGCTCAGTTCAATACACTGCTTCAGCCAGGAATTTGTTCAAACTATTATAATCTTTGACCAGTCAGGATAAGTAATATTATTGATTTGTCTTTTTAAGGCTTACCTATTTTTTGCAAGTTTTTTTAAAGTCAGAAAATATTTTTAGATTGTAATAATTTTTAGAGATAATGATACAACTCTTACTAATTAACCCATAGCTGGGGGGGGGGATGGTGGATTCATACCTATCCCAAGGGTATTTGCATGTAAGTTAATATAGCAAACCCAAATGAAATTGGAACTCAGCTCTCTGTGTTCTAATTCCAAGCCATTATCCATTACACCACCTACATATCCAAGCTTACAGCACCTGGTATTCTCAAGCAGTTACCCATCTAGGTAATGACCAGGCTTGATGTTGCTTAACTTTGGTGATCATACAAGAACTGATGTTTCAACATGATATGGCTGTAAGCCTATGAGTGATATTAATATATTGATCAATTAGTTTTCTATGGCTTATCAACCCATTGCAGGTTATTTAAAGACAGAAAATATTTTTAGATTGTAAGACATTTTTTTTTTGAGATAATAATGCTTTAGTGTTGTTGTTGTTGTTCAAAATAGTCGAGAATTAGGAAGGGCATAGTTAGAGAGAGCATTGAAGAAACAGAAGACTAGGTAGAGGAAACAAAGAAGAAGAGGTTTATTAAATATTCATACATAGAATGGAAATATTCAAGTAAATCAAATACTACTCAAATCCTACTCTAATGTGGCTTCTTGGGCCTGATTGCAAGTAGGAGCAATCCATTGTCACACTAGTAGGGAAGAGAAGGAAGTATGCAGAGTCCTACAACATTTAGGGATACAAGTCTTACTAATTAACTCATAGCTGGGGGGAGAACAGGTGGATTCATATCTTTTCTCAGGGGTATTTGTGCATAAGTGAATATAACAAACCCAAAAGGAATTGGAACTTGGCTCTCTGATTAACAATTTCAATTATCCATTACACCACCTGCACATCCAAGTTTACAGCACCTGGTATTATCAAGTGGTCACCCATCTAGTACTGTCAAGTGTCAACGTTGCTTATCTTATGATCATACAGGAACCAGTGTTTTAACGTTATCTGGCTGTAAGCTGATATTAATATATTTTGTACCATAGTTAACTACATAATGTCCTCCATATTGAAATTTGAGCCTTGACTTCTTTTTGTCATTTGCATAATGCTGTGACAAATATGCTGTTTCCAGTGTAAACTTGTATTGAATCTCTGTTATTCAATTCTTAATCTACACATGTCAGCAAAAAAAGATGTTATTGACTAAAATGTTAAAGTTAGGAAAATTGATATTTACCTGTGTTTTTCTGTGTGTCTGTTTCCACAGTAACTGTGAGGGCTTTTTGTAGCGCTTCTCCTTCCCCGTCACCACCTTGGAAAGCTGGAACCTGACATAATTAAAAGACATAAGGAATTTATCTTCAACAAGGAACAGATTCAAATCAGAAGGTAACCAGTCTGTTAGCTGAACTCAAAAGCACTCATCAAGTGCATATGTCTGCCAAAACCATTGACATTACAAACTAAACAATCAGGTCACAAATCTTTCTTTTATAAGAAAAATATAATTTACTTTTCACAAAAGCAGTAGCATAGCTCAAGTGGGGTGGGGAGGGTTGGTTCCCCCTGGGTGGCCCTTTCAGTTTTGCTATATAAGACTGTATACACTGTATTGAAATAAAAGGAGTTGTAATGTCAGGTCACTATTCCCAGTTAAAGAACCTTTTTGATTTCAAGTAACTTAAATTATGGCATTTAAGCAAATTGTTATCTTGGCTGAACAATAAATATTATCTAGTTATTTATTCAGGGCTTTTTTTATCATTGCTAACAGTGTGAAACCTGTGAATGCATCCAGTGTGTGTTCTTTTAATGCATGTGTATGGGAGACACACCTTGGTTGTTATCATGTTAAACTCAGTTATTATATATATATATATATATATATATATATATATATATTAGGTACCACCAAAACATGTGCTTTATCTGAAATGAAAGCAAAACATTACTATCCAGTTGTAAAAATTTTTCCAAAACTCAGGGATTTATTCAATTTAAACAAAATTTTCAATACTTATTCACTAATAAATTAATTATATACCGAATAAGTAATTTTATTATAAAGTTTTGTGGGAATAATTTCTGGTGAGGTTAGTATCCCCTCCACCACTTTTTGATATCTTGTGTGATTTTTTTTTTTTATTTAGAGTTGGGGGTGTTCATAAAATGTTTTATTTAATTTTTAATTTTAAAGAAAATGTTATGTCAGTAAAAAATTCATGAAATATCATGCATGAACTTACTGAAAATTCATCCCAAAGATAATCCGATACAACTCAAAAAATTAATTTTTTTTGAGAGTTGATACCTCCATAATTTGATAAAACTTCATTATATTAATTAAAAGAAAAATAAATTTCCGTATGTAAATACAATTGTTAACCATTTTAAAAACATTGGTATGTTCACTTATTACTTGTCAGCTTGTACGTTTGGGTAGAAATAAGTCACTATTATGTTGAGGGTATCACCTCTTTGGTTGTGATGTGTATAGACATTTTATATCAAATATCTATTGGCTGCTGGAACATTTATCCTACAAACTGCATTGGTGGACACTGTGTGAGTCTGTGTAAAACAATGAGTATAAAAAAAGGACTGCATGTTATTAACAAAAGGAATGTGTACACAATTGTAATGAAAGGAAAACACATTAAAACTAGTTATAAGAAGAATGTGTTTGTTTGTGTGTGTGTGATAGACACATATATGTATATGCATATGTGAGAGTTCAAAAGTCAACAGAGGACCAAAGAAGCGAATGTGCCTTGTCAGCAGCATTCTTTAACTATGTCAACTACATCTGGAAGCAAGAGTTAAAAAAGAGGAAGAGAGAGTATATGATTGCTTTTTTATAGACTTAAAGTGCCCCCTAACAGGCATTTTGGCAAAGCCAAGTGGGATAACCCACAAACTCATTGGATTGCCATTACAGATGAAAAATAGAAATAACAAATTTAAAAGTCTGTTAAAAATAAAATATTTGTTCTAGAATACTTATTTTTTGAATAAGACATAATGAAACTAATGTTTATTTATGCTCGGTAGTCAATGATGTCATAGGTCAACAAATGTAATTTTCTTCTGTAATACCTCTCTTTAAAAAAGTACACAAAAATTGAATATAAATTTAAATAAATACATAATACCAGCAGTGCAATAATGAAGAAATAGGTATTATGTTTAAAAATAAATTATATTTAACCTTATATAACGAATAGTTTAAGAATATAATTTTTATTTTTTTTTTGTTAAAATGATACTTTTCAGTTTAATACATTGCTTTTATTTTTTGATCATATTTATCTTTTTTTTTTTTATATAATAAAATATTTAATTGCACCCAATATGTTTTTTTTTAATTATTCTGAATGTGAGATTATCATATTAATGTTCCAATAGTAAGGAATATTAAGTCAAAGGCTGTAATTCAGAATTATGTCTTTTTGAACATCCATACAAAAAAGATAACCTAACAGTTGCTAAAATGAAAAAGAAACAGTTCACAATTGAAAATTTAATAAAAATAAAAAAATATATTTTATGAACAGCAACAGGATGAAATTACGAGGAAATTTACAGAGTAGATTTTTTTTCTGTCCAATCAGAAAGAAAATAATGTTTTTTGTTTTATTAAATTATGAACACACCAACTTTCAAAAAAAAAAAATACCATTTATTGAATTTTTTTGGTAAAGTTTGGAATGAATGTTCCAAATGTTCACACTTGATATTGCGTAAATCTTTTTAATGAAAAATCTTCTGGGTTTTTTCTTTAAGTGTAAAATTAAATATTTCATGAACTTCACCACACACCATAAAATAAAATTTACATATTCAAAAAACTGACATCCCCCCCGCAAATATTTCCTGTGAGTTTTCTAATAAAATGATATTTTCAGTATACAATTCATTCATTAATGAATAAATACTGAAAATTTCGTTTGAATCGGATAATTGTCTGATTTTGAGTATTTTCTTTGAAGAGGAGGGTAGCGAATTTTTGCTTTCATTTTGGACTTTGGTGGTATCCAGTAAACACATATTAATAGAGAGAAAAGAGAATTAACTGAAATAATTTAATGGAGTTGCTTCCCTTGCATCAAACGTTGTGATCCACTTTTACTAAAATTGATGCGTTTAATATTTACAAACGATTGATTTATTATTTATTTCACTATTCATGTTTTAATCTTTTTAGATACTTTTCATGAATTTTAATAGGAAGAAAAACTTACATAAATTTTCCTCTTTACTTCTTTAATCGTTTCATTTCTTTTCTTATTTTTCAGTTGCTGCAGTCGAATTTCTTCTCTGGTGGAAAGAAAAATTTTGGCCTCATTTGAATGATAAAGAATGAATCAATATTATTTCATAGGCATTATATTTTCTGATTGGCTCACATTCTGACAATTTGTGGATTCTTTTCTATACATTTAAATTCATTTTCAGCTTGTGCTCTAAAATTCACTGAGTGAAAGTATGTAGTGGTGAACATCAGAGATAAGTTGAAATACACTTGCACACTAAGATGGAGTTTAAGAAGTAAAAGAACAAAGAGACTTGGGTATTCTAGTTTAACATGATTCCAAGATAAATGTAAGGAAATCTAATCAATGAATAGGAATGATTGCTTTACAAATCTTACTCTAAAAATGGTAAAAAAAAACCTTTTTGTACTACTACATTTGTATTCAAACAGTAAGTACTCAAATATGCAGCTATTATCTGGAGCCTAAACTACAAAAAAAGATATTAACTTATTGCAATTTACTCAACACAGATGGCTCAATCTAGCTACAGGTGAAATCCGTGGCTGGTAATAAAGTCACAGGAGAAAATGTTACATAAAAAATCTCAATTTTGATTAGGAAAAAATTCAGAATTAATTTAGGGTGGCAGGTAATAAGGTCATTTATTTTTGTTGGGTACTTCACTGACTATGGATCTGATCTGTTTGCAACAGAAATTCATACTAAAAATCGATCCAACCTCTAAAAAAGGTTTTCTAACAATGCTACACATAATTTCATAGTTAGAGAAGCCAAGTATTCTATAAGACCTGACTTGATGTGAAGAAATTGACTGTTGGTCAGGCGGGAAAGAAGCAGTGTGTTGTTGAAATACTTACTAAACAAAAAGCTTGTTATTTTCTGCACTAACCCTTTAGTTACAGTAGTCACGTGACAGGGTTACCATATGATCTCTGAAGTTGCATAAAAAGAGAGGAAATCCTTCTCTTTTTATTATTAAAATTACCTTCAATGTTATCAGACGGTTATATGTCGTGGAAAAGTAGCAATATATTTTGAAACTTAAGGTAAATGCTATTGCTATTTTTTCCTTGACCTGATCAGTCTCTGCTTGTTTTGGGGATCAGGAGCATTTCCTTGATGACAAAGAAGGGTGTTTTTTTTTAAATTTGTACCAAAATGTAAACAAACCATGGAAATCGTATAAGCCATAAAAAGCGTTTTTTCACGATGCTATGGTCACATGTTCGATATATTTTATAGTTAGGGAATCCTATAAGGAGATTTGATTTTATAATTTTTTTTATCATATGTGAATAAAGTGTCAATTTGACATTAAAATTCGAGTTAAAAGTTCCTAGAATTTTCAATTTATTTATGAGGCTGTGATTTTATCCACTTTTAGGATAAGAGGCTGGGATTTTGTCTACTTTTGGGATAAGAGGCTGGGATTCTGTCAACTTTTCTGATATTTAGCAGGGATTTTGTTCAATTTTGCCATAAGAGGCTGTGATTTTGTCCACTTTTGATATAAGAGGTGAAAGGAATTTAAGTAAAATGGAGCACAAACAAAACAAATATTTCATTTTAAACTAGTTTGATTTATTGGCTTGTTTTATGGCATCTCAACACCACAATGGGTTATTTAATGCTGACAAGATTTTCAGGATAGGTTCGTATGAATAGAATATGTATTCTTTGTAAGAAATCCATTTCTAGATCAGGTTTCATTGATGTTTTTTGTAAAGAGGATTTGCCAAGAGTCTGGTTTCATTGATGTATTCTTTTCAGATATACAGTTTGTAGAAAAGTTGCTTTTATTGACATTCTTAAAAGAATTTAAGCAATTATCGTTCATAAAATGACATTGATTGGATTGTATTTTTGGAAGGGTTTCTTGGTCAGTTTGGTTTATTTTGTTTTATGGCATATCAACACCTCAGTGGGTTATTTAATGCTGACAAGATTTTTAGGATAGGTTTTTATGAATAGAATATGTATTTTTGTCAAGAACCAGAAGTGTTGCTGGTAATATTTTTTTTCAAAAATGTATTGCTGGTATTTTTACTATAAAAAATTGTTTTTATACTTATAGTGTTTTGACCCCAAAAGAATGGTGTTAGTGGTCATTGACTGCATATACTTCTGTATTTTGACATGTAGTATATTATACTACTAATATTATCTAAGGATTCTTTGTAACCAAGTCATGTAGATTTGTTCAAGTGTTTGAAAATGGCAACAATATGGGACCCAGCATTTGCAACCTTATAACAGTGCTGAAAAGTGTACTACATTGTAGACAGAAACTTTGGTCTTACTGGAGGGCAGAGGATACAATTTTTGAAATGGTGTTACTATAACAACCCAAATAGACTTGTACTTACTTTTCAGTCGCGATAGACTTCAAAAGTGTTTACGAAGCTTTGTAGGGGTAAAATTATTTTCAACTCTACAACACCTTTCCCAGAGATGAAATGCTGCAAACCTCTTTCTATTGCTATTTCCATGGCAAATGTTCTCACAAGTTACAATAGTTCCATCATTTCAGATCTTCACAGCTAAGACCCACTATGCTATGTACACTGGGACGAATTGTCCCCATTCCCTTTGTATTCTATTAATAAGAATGAAGTTTCATTTAGACAGCTTCATTCCAAAAACTGCTACTTTGTGTAACAGCCTCCTGAGTGGGTACTTCCCTCATCACTTCAATCTTAACCTTTTCGAATCTAGCATCAAGTGTTATCTTTCCTAAATATCCTTATAAAATGCACTTCTTACCTCCTCTTACATTCATATGATACTATGGACACCCACGTAGAAAGGGAAGAGGTGTTTCTGTTTGATGGGCCAGCAGATAGTCCCTTTTGAAGTTTAGTCTTCTCAGCAGCGTCCTCTTTAACCAAAGGGTAACAAGAATTAAATGGATGGATGAGGGATTTTTGTAGATCAGGTGGATTATATCTCAACGCTGGTCTATATTAAAAGTCATGCTTGGAATCAGGGAGAGTGCTGGTCTATATATCTATGCCAGGAAATGCTGCGATTCTGAAGCCTCCATTTTCGTATTGCCAGCCACCACATTGGGATAAGTAGATAGGTGAGGAGTTGGAAGGGGGAAGAGCTGACATAGTAGAAGTTGTCTCCACTATCTCCACCTACCCCCCATCTACAAGCAAGCAAAGCCCTGAAAAGAAAAGAAAAAAGAAGGTCCATATATAATATGGTAAACAGGATTTGTGCTTTTTTCTCTTGATGTGGTGTTTCTTTCATTGTGTTTAACTTGTGAACATGTAACACACTCTTGCCCAGCTTTTGTTGAACACCAATGCGATCAAAGATTCGAATGCAACATGGGTGGAAAGTCTGGACATGGGTCATGTATTTTTACATTCATACAACAATCTCATTCAGTAGCACTCTACCTTGAGTGGCTCTTGAGCAACAAAAAAGAATAATATATAATAATTTAAACATTGCTCTCTTGCACCTATCTACTAAATACTTATATTCACAGTACATGGTGCATACATCACTTAACTTAAACACTTACTTTACCCTCTCAGCTTTTCGGTCTGCATCTTCTTGTTTTTGCAAGTGTAACCTCTGACGTGGAGTCAAATGTTTCATTCTGTTATACTCGTCTCTCTTACGCAAATTCTCCAAAGAACATTTCTCAGACCTGGAATATCAGAGAAAAAAAAACAAACAAAAAAGTAAATATTTAATATCTGTCTATATTTCCGAGATGAGGTATTGCAACTATTTACATAGTTTAGACTGTTGTCCTCATCTTTACTACCATATTTCGGTTGTTGTACTTTCCAGCCTTCTTCAGGTGATATACATTGGAATTTTTAACTGATCCTTTTATTTAGTCTCTGGGGGTAGATTGATCTAATTCCATATGCCATGCCTTTTTTTTTTGGATATCTCTGTATCAGTTAACTCCCTTTAGTAACTCAACTCAAAGAGTTGTGAGTTCAATACCTGGCCACAGTAGAGGGAACAAAAACCTGGAGATTTGAGTTACTAAAGGGGAATAATTGAAACTGAGATATCCAAAAAAAAGGCATGGCACGTGGAACTAGAACAATCTACCCCAATGGACTAAATAAAGGGTTTGGTTTGAAATTCCAACAAATATCACCTGAAGAAGGTTGGAGTGTACAACAGCCGAAATGTTGAGAATATGGCAGTAAAGATGAGGACAACAGTCCAAAAAATGTAAATAGTGCAAAAAAAAAAAAAAAAAAAATGATGGATAGACAATTGTATCTTATTTTGGCCATAAATTTTATAAAGAATTTTATTTTCACTATTTTAAAAATGTTAGCATTGAATAAATATTTAATTGTTGAGGTTATTTTTTTTAATACACATTCTTTTGAGAGAAGTGTATTTTTATGAAGTCCAGACGATTTCTGTAAAAAATTGTTACACTTGTATGTCTTTTTCAGCTCAGCGGTTGAAACCCGCTAAAATTTGTAAAGGGTCCATTTCCAGTTTATGGAAAATTATATTTTCGTATATACTGACCAATGAGAGATGTGGTCTCAAGCTCTACCTGATTGTGCAGGAGGGTGGGGGGGTGTTTCCTTGTGAGCCTAATTTTCCAAATGTATATCAGGTCAGTAGATGTGCGGAGAAGATTTTGTTGAAAGCAAGGGAACAAAGCAAATCAACATCAAGGAACAAGAAGGTACAAGGTTACCAGCCAGCTGCAGAGAGACGAAAAAGAATTTTTGAAGTTCAAGTAAAAATTCTCCTGTCGTTGGACAGTTAAGAACAAAAATTAATTTAAAGAAATTTTCCCAAGTATGAACAGTGTAATTTTAAAAGGGACTTTTCAAAAATTACTATAAGTTCCTAAGACACTCATGGTGCAATTAAAAATAAGGTGTTTTTATTTTTTCTCAAAGCTTGTTGCACTTTTATTTTCTACTGCCTTCTTGTATTGTTTTCTATTTTTGTCTTTTTCAAAATCTTTGTCTTTTCACAAACTGTCATTTTTTTTCTGTTTTTCGATGGAAATCTTTTCATCAGAAATTGTTATCCTGTCTTAATGGGGGCACAAAAAGAAATTTTTGTGTAAACTTTGTATTTGTACTTTTTTGTAATTGTGTCATAAATGTGTTTTCCTTTTGAAATTTACGCAGTGCTTGAGTCTCATTTATAATTTTGTGCCTATTATACCTTGTTGTTCCAACTAAGTTTGTGTTTGGCACAAGAAACTTGGATTTGGTAGGGAATAAAGTTTTTTATAATTTACCTTAAAATTTTACGCATACATCAAAAAGAAACCACAAAGAAATAATTTTCTTTTGCGTGAGATTACCTGACCTTGTCTGCCTGTAGACTTTTCTTAATGTCCATAAGATGGCTTTGTATAAAGCAATATAGCAGGAAAGGACACAAATTCTGTTTCTCTTTATTTACTTCTCTCTCCAACCACAGAATGCTGTAGTGACAAGACATGTCTCGTTTCCCTCTCAGGAAGATTGTTTAGTTCCCAGGTGCACAATACATCTCATACAACACACTACACTATGTCCTATTCAAAAAAAATGTGACAACTATGGTATCTCCACTATGGACGATGACATAAATATATATTCACCTCCAAAACAAGAAAATATCCCAATTCAAAAAAAATGAGACAATGCCACAACAAACTGAAAACTTCTGAAACAATTTGGCAACTTAATATCATTATGAGTTTTTAAAAGAAACATATTATTAGATACTTTTTCATTCATAATAGAAGGCTAGAAGTTTATTAAAGAATTAATTTTTTTTCTCTTTTTTAAGCTATTTAACACCTGGTTCTATATATATATATATATATATATATATATATAATTATGTATTTGGACAGCGATCCCTCTTTTATGCATGTTTCATTAAAGATGACAGACAAGGTACTGCGGTTAAGCTTTTTATTTAATTTTTATTGTGTTTGTATAAGTGTTTTCATTTCTGGACTTAAGGAGTGTAAAAATTGTCCAAATGTTTTGCATATCTGAGTGCTTTTGGTTATTCTTTTAGCTATTATCAAGGGTGATTTTTATTTTTTTTTATTTTTAACTGAATCACAAAGAATTGTACCAAATAACTGAAACCACATCACTTGAAGACTACCAACAGTAGTAACAACTAAAATGGATAGCACATTTAACTCGAAGAGAAAATAATGATGTAATCAAAATGTTGATATTCCACAAGACTTCAAACAAAAGGTTAGGAATTCAATATTGGAAAGAGGAATAACAGTGGATTCGAGAAAATCCTATTTTCCTGAAAAATTGGTTTAAGAGAAAGATTTTATAAATTTCAACCAAAAGTAGCACTGGCTGTTTGATTAATGAATGCTGAATGTTTCCTTAAAAGGAAATGGCTATTGTTGCTATTACCCTTATCTTGTAGCCAAGATTGTTGAATATTTCCCCATATCAACTGTGGTCAGTATTCAAAATCAGGTAAAATGCAAATTTTCAAGACAGGCAGGCCCCCTCCACTCTTGGAGGATTAGTGCTACCCAATCTTCATAAATCCATTTCTCTTTATTTAATCTTGTGGTCTACTAAGCCAAGTTTTTTTTTTTAAATATAAAGAGATAAAAAATGTTACTCACAATTTTCTATGTATTTCTGTGACTTCCTTTTCTCCGCATTGACTGTTGAATGTGAAATTGTTTTTGCATTCTTCACTCATTTTCTGAAAATGGAAAAAATATTTTATATTCACTTGATATTTTTATTATACAATTATTATTATTTTTAAAAATTTTTTTTGATTTTGACCTGCATTTGTTTAATAATCATATGCTAGGTGATAACCAATGACTGAGAAAGAAGTGACTGGATGTTATTTTTTTTTGTTCTTTCTGCTTTTGACAGCTATTAATGAAAAACTTAAATTGGGTTTGACCAATTCGTAAAAAAATTGTTCAAATTCATGCTTTTATTCTTGTTATATTCAAGGTTTGGTTTGGTTTGGTTTGGTTTATTTTACAGCATATCAACCTCAATGGAGTATTTAATGCTAACAAGATTTTTAGGATAGGTTCGTATGAATAGAATATGTATTCTTTGTAAGAAATAAGTTTGTGGATCAGATTTCATTGATATATAGTTTGTAAAGAGGGTCGAGAGTCAAATTTATTGCTCGTCTTTGCTTGTTAGAAGAATTTTTTGGATTTCCTGGAGAGATGCTGCACCACAGATGTTGCTAATAAGTTCCTTTCTTTATTAGACTCAAAGCTCCAACCACAACAAAGATAGTTTTAGTTTTTAAGTGCCACGTTTTTGTAGTTTCCAGGTCTTATACAATTATTATTATCATCATCATTATCATAATGATAATTATAATTATCATCACGATCATTATAATGATTATCATTATTATCATGTTAATTATAATTATTAACATTATCATCGTCATAATTATTATCATTATTATTGTCATTATCATCATCATCACCGTTATTATTATTATTATAGCATATTGTTATATTATACTTTTGTTTCTAATTTTTGTGAATACAAATACAGGATTCTTGTCATTAGCTTGACTGAATAAAATAATCTTACTTATTATAAAACGCAGATTGTGTGTGTGTGTGTCTGTACGTTTATATATTGGATTGGATTTCCTACATTTTTCAACTGATTTCAACAAAACTTCACAGGACTACGTAAAATTACCTTGTGGTGGTTCTGACAGCACCAAAAATTGGAAAAACACAATTGTTTTTGCATGAAATCAATTTGAAAACACGATTCTATCACCAGAATGAAAGGGGGACAACTCATATCGAGTTATACTTATTATAAAACCCACTTTGTTTGTGTGTGTGTGTGTGTGTGTGTTCATTTATATATGGGATCGGATTTCCTATATTTCTCAACCGATTTCAACACAACTTCACTTTTTTTTTTGGCAGGTAGTGTTTCTTATTGTCTTGCACACTTTTTTCTTTATTTTTACATTCAGAATGCTTTAAAAATTCCATTTACAAGACAACTATTTATAATAAAATTCTATTCAATCGATAGACTCATAATGATTGAAAACAATGTTTTTGTTTGAGTTTGGGTTTGACCAATTCGTAAAAAAAACAAAAAAAAAACTAATTAAGACATGCATGTCCGTCAACCTTAAACAATAATCTTTGTCAATTTTTATTTTTCAGTCTTTATGATGGTCGATACTCGATCTATCTCTTACTGTTATATTCCCGGGCAACACCAGGCTCTACTGCTAGTAATAAATAAATTTTAAAGTAGTTCTCAAATGGCTGAAAGTACCTGCAGAATTCAAAAAGTGGATCCTGCTGTACTAAATTCAATATTTCAAGGGGTATCGATTGTGAAGCCTAGAAGTGAATCTCTTGTTGATTATGATTTTTAAGTTGTGAGGTGGAGAAGAATCTGACCATCAACACTTGAAATATTCAGGGCTAGGATCATTTACATTTTCATCAATCAAAAAACATTTTCTTTTCATAAAGATGTATTTAGGCAACAAGAATTCATCCAAACATATTTTATTGACTATCATTGACATGCTCTATCTCTTCAACTTTTTATTATGTCTTACCAATTTCCAAACAAAGTGTTGTGCATTAGGATTGAAGTTATGAATGAATTGTTCAAATTCATGCTTTTTTTCTTGTTATATTCAAGGTTTGGTTTGGTTTGGTTTGGTTTATTTTACAGCATATCAACCTCAATGGAGTATTTAATGCCAACAAGATTTTTAGGATAGGTTCGTATGAATAGAATATGTATTCTTTGTAAGAAATAAGTTTATGGATCAGATTTCATTGATATATAGTTTGTAAAGAGGGTCGAGAGTCAAATTTATTGCTTGTAACATATTTTCTAAAATATATTGCTGGTAGTTTTACTATAAAAATCTATTTTTATGCTTTCATTGTGTTTTGATCCCAGTTTGGGGATTAACTATTTGCCCATAGCTGGAACCCTAACAGGTGCTACCATTATATTCAAATCTTGTTTAACTATCAAAGTCATTGTCAAGAACAGGTGTTATCAGTATGGTCCTTGGCCAGTGTGATTTCTCATCAGAATTTTATTGTGTTAGTATCTTCGTTTGCTGCAGGGTCAGGATTTAATTAAGGTGCATTTAGGCAGCAACAATTCATCCAAACTAGTTTTATTAAATTTCAGCAATAAGATTTGTCTGTTCAACTTTTATTAGATCTTCTCAATTTCTGAATGGTGTGTTGTACATTCACAAATAGGAAAGATATAATAAAAAATTGAACAGACAGTAATTTAATAAAAGTTGTTGGCAAATTTGGATCTTTTTGCCTGCAAAAAATATGGAGTGCCAAAAGGATGGCTTTTCCATTGACACCACTATTATTTTAACTACCTTCTCTCCTCAGCAAAGTTTGTTTTAAAAAGCAATGATTAGAATTGTAATAAAACCTAAGCATATGTTGGAAGTGGTCTTATGTGGCAACCTCTAACTTATAAGCTTAATAATCTGGAAGAAAAATGGAATATTATCTATGAATAATGTATGGTAAATTCTTCATGTCACCTTGCTGATGCACCTGGCTTCTTTGAAGGACACCGAGTGCAAAGTCTATTTTAGCATCATTTGAGGTGAGACTATCTCTATTTTTGTTCATCTCTCTCTGCTCATATCTATATTTCCTTATGTTATGTTATGTAATGTTATTTCTTAGGCCAAGCTGCTGATGCACCTATCTATTCTAAAGGACACTGAGTGCAAAGTCTATTTCAACATCATGTGAGGTGAGACTATATATCTATCTGTCTTAGTCTCTTCATAATCTATCTATCTATCTATCTATCTCAGTCTCTTCATAATCTATCTATCTATCTATCTCAGTCTCTTCATAATCTATCTATCTATCTATCTATCTCAGTCTCTTCATAATCTATCTATCTATCTATCTATCTCAGTCTCTTCATAATCTATCTATCTATCTATCTATCTCAGTCTCTTCATAATCTATCTATCTATCTATCTATCTATCTCAGTCTCTTCATAATCTATCTATCTATCTATCTATCTATCTCAGTCTCTTCATAATCTATCTATCTATCTATCTATCTATCTCAGTCTCTTCATAATCTATCTATCTATCTATCTATCTATCTCAGTCTCTTCATAATCTATCTATCTATCTATCTATCTATCTCAGTCTCTTCATAATAATCTATCTATCTATCTATCTATCTCAGTCTCTTCATAATCTATCTATCTATCTATCTATCTATCTATCTCAGTCTCTTCATAATCTATCTATCTATCTATCTATCTATCTCAGTCTCTTCATAATCTATCTATCTATCTATCTCAGTCTCTTCATAATCTATCTATCTATCTATCTATCTATCTTATAATCTATCTATCTATCTATCTATCTATCTCAGTCTCTTCATAATCTATCTATCTATCTATCTCAGTCTCTTCATAATCTATCTATCTATCTATCTATCTATCTCAGTCTCTTCATAATCTATCTATCTATCTATCTATCTCAGTCTCTTCATAATCTATCTATCTATCTATCTATCTCAGTCTCTTCATAATCTATCTATCTATCTATCTATCTCAGTCTCTTCATAATCTATCTATCTATCTATCTCAGTCTCTTCATAATCTATCTATCTATCTATCTATCTCAGTCTCTTCATAAATCTATCTATCTAGTCTCTTCATAATCTATCTATCTCAGTCTCTTCATAATCTATCTATCTATCTATCTATCTCAGTCTCTTCATAATCTATCTATCTATCTATCTATCTCAGTCTCTTCATAATCTATCTATCTATCTATCTATCTATCTATCTCAGTCTCTTCATAATCTATCTATCTATCTCAGTCTCTTCATAATCTATCTATCTATCTATCTCAGTCTCTTCATAATCTATCTATCTATCCCAGAAATTTCTGTCCTACAGTTTTTCCTATGTGTGCACCATTGACATTGGGCGGTGCTTAGTTGCATTTTCTGGCTATCCAATCTTTCAGATAAACCAGCCAATGCACCTGACTTCTCTGAAGGACACTGAGTTAAAAGTCTATTTTAGCATCGTTTGTTGTGAGTCACCTACTATAATATCATGCAGATCTGTCAAATTTGTCTCCCTGCAACTTTTCCTGAAGCAAGATGAAGGTAAACATGACAAGTAAACATGATAATTCTCCCCAATGAAGAAAGAAGAATTTTCAGAATGTTTTGAAAAGAAGGATAAGTATGTGTGCTCCCAAAAGGAGTGTTTGAAGAGGACTAAGGCACCATTACCCTAGGTAGGCTGAATCCCCATTCATATTAAATGGCTATATACTTTCTAAATCCTGATGTTAGTGGAAGCATTAAATACTTACTGTAATGTGATCAACAATAAATGGCATTTTGAGGATATCACCTGCTGATGGTCGGTCCTTTTGAGCTTTCTGGAGCATCCTGTCATCAAAGAATCAAATTTGATCATTTAGAACAGGGGTTGGCAACCTTTTGGAGAGAGCGGACAGTATCACAGAGGAGGGCCATATCAAATGTACTATAATAAATTGTCTTGACCAAAGACCGCTCCATCCAGAAGGATGCCTTGGTCTGGAGGCTTCAAGAAAAGACAATGAAGTTAATGTTATATTATTTAAACAAGTTTCCTTATTTTACTGCAGCTATAACAACTACAATCAATAAAAAATGCAAAATTCCTTACTACAAATACAATACAGTTAGAAATGGCAAATTATTTAATAAGACCCTTGTTTTTGCTTATCGTTCGATAACTTCTCCACATCATCAGCACTCAATCTTGTTCTTAAACGACATTTAGTATATTTTCAAAAATATTTATTCATGAGCATATGTACTTCCAAATAATGATACCATAATTTTTGCATTATTCAATAGGCTCTTATATTTTCTGCTTGGCAAAACATTTCTTGTAGAAGTCAGCAGGGGATTCAGAATGAAATTTTGATTTTAAAAATTTGTCACGTTGTAAGTCGATTAACTCCACTTGATATTTTTCTGTCATTTGCTCCATATCTGTTACCAAATAATTTAAATTGATTCCCATATTGCTGAAAGTCAGTGAAATGGAGAAAGAACTCGCTTCTTAAATCCTGAATAGAGTTCACATAGATATCGGGTATTATATCTCTCTTGTGATTTCGGAGATTTGGGAAATGAGAGTAGTTTCCTTTTGGAAGTTGTGATTCCTACAGTTGAAGTTTTCTTTCAAAAGCAATAATTTGACCAAATATCTCAGATATAAACTTGTTCTTTCCTTGAAGCTCAAGATTCAAAGTGTTCATGTGGGTTGTGATGGCCACTAAAAATGCTAAGCTGACAATCCAATCTGGATCCTGAATGTAAGAATTATCTTGGTCTTTGCTCTCCGGTTCAGTTGGTAGGCCAGACAAAAATCATTCATGGGTCGGATGTAGCCTGGGGGCCAGAGGTTGCTGATCCCTGATTTAGAATCTTAGATTTACAAGAGATAATTTTCAAAGGCAATAAAAAGAAATTTTTGATTAAGAAAGTATTATTGAGTTATCTCCTCTTTTTGAGATCTTGTGGGATTTTTTTTTTTATTATCATACAGGTTTATACCTTTTGTGGATTATTTAAAGCTGAAACATATTTTGAACTGTAAGGATACCATATTTCATGTATACTAAGACACTTTCTTTTTCCTGAAAAAGAACCTCAAAAATCATCCTGTGTCTTAGTACTGAAACGTCAAATTGTAGAAAGAAGGTTTATGGCCATATGTTGAAACACCAGTTCTTACATGATCACTGAAGTTAAGCAACGTCGAACCTAGTCAGTATCTTGATAGGTAACTGTTTACGAATACCAGATGCTGTAAGTTTGGATGTGTGGGTTGTGTAATGGATAAAGGCTCAAAATTGGATATCAGAGAGCCGACTTCTAATTCCAATCTGTTTCATTATATTCACTTACAAGCAAATATCCTTGGGAAAGGTATGAATCAACCTCTTCTCCTCCCAGCTATGGGTTAATTAGTAGAACTATTAGTTCAACTATAACTAATAAATTCTCTTCCCAAAAATTCAGAGAGAAATGTATTGTATTTCCCATATGGTAAGACATATTTTTTTTCCTGAAAAACAAATAAACCCTTATATTCCCTGTTCTACTAAATGACTTGATTCCATCATTTCCTTTAAAATGGTAGAGTGAATTGCATCATGGTGCTCTTTTTCTCACAGATGGTGCTCAACTGACCCTACTATACTGTGCAGTTGACAAAATCAAAAACAAACGATAACATGTGCGAAATTGAAAATATGAAATGGCGACAATTTACCCATTTTGCTATATATATATATATATATATATATATATATATATATCGGATTAATTTCAGTAAAATTGTCACTTAGCTGATTGATATTACCTTCGGCATCTCAACTCTAGAGTTTTTTTAGATGGGCCTGTTCATCCACTTTCAGTGGGGTATCAGCAATTTACTGCTTATATTTTTTTCAATTTTTTCTTTTTATACTCATTTGGTATTGGTGTAAATTTTCTTCTGTGTTTGTGTGTGCACTTGTTCATGTGCTCATGTGTGCTCATCTGTATGGATGCACAAGTGTGATCATTTTGTTGCTTTCACATTTCTTGTTCTTTATCAGTAGCAAATTAGTCTAGTTCTGTTTCCACTTCAAATAATGAAATAAAGACAAAGGAAAAACTTTTCTTTACCAATGCATTTTGTCCTTTGATGAAATTTATCGGGCAAAATGAACATTTGCTTTGACAAAGTCCATTGGAGGACGAAATACATTGGTAAAGAAAAGTTTTCCTTTTATATTTATTCCACATTGTCTTTACACACACACACACACATATATATATATATATATACACACACACACACATTTATGAATAAAAAATTGCTTTCACATTTATTTTTATTTTCTGTAGATTATTGTAGACAAAAAGAAAACATTTTCTCTGTAAAGAGATAAACTCACAATTTAAAGATCATGTCCATTTGTATTGGGTAGTGTGAAGGAAGTGATGGAGGGTCATCGTCAGTAATCTTGTATAACACAGACAAAAAAGACGTGCTTTCAAATGCATGCTTTAATGCACACATATCAAAGAGGATGCATCCAAGGGACCTGCACAACAAATAAAGAAAAACAATCATCAGTTCTAAGTAGTCACATCGACTTTGTAATGAAGGGAAGAGACATTATCATTCCTAGAATTGTTTTAATTTAATTTCTTTTGGCTTTTTTTTCTTGACAGAATTTATTTTACGCATTTACAAGTCTACCATTCATTCATGCATTAAATATTGCTGCCACATTTGACCTGGTACTTCTGCTATGTATTTAGAGATTCTTGATAAAGCACACTCTGCAATATTATCAGTCCTGATCTGGCATCTTGGCTTCAGTCACTTTCCCACTGTTGTAATGTAGTTTCTATGTGCTTTTTCTATATTTTCATGGTAATCATTTCATACATTTTGTAATGTTGGGAAGAGATATTATTATTATTATTATTATTACAAGAATTGTCTTAACTCATTTCTTTTTGCTTTTTTTCTCGACAAACTATTTTATACAGATATAAATCTACCATTCGTACATGAATTGAATATTGCTGCCACATCTGATCTGGTGATTCTGTTATGTATTTAGAGATTCTTGATAAAATATAAAGAAATCTGCAATGTTATTGGTCATGACCTGTCACCTCGGTTTTCAGTCACTTTCTCATCACCATAACATAGCTTCCCCATGCCTTTTCTATGAAGTTTTTAAGTATTACTATAATGAAAGTAATATTTTCGATCTCTAGTTAGGAAGCAAGATTGCACTTCTTGCAGAATGATACAAATCTAAATAATTCTGTCAGCTTTTGTCTTTATACAGAACTTAACAATGGAAATGTGGCTTTCAAAAATCACTGAAACATTAAAAAGCCATACATTTTGTAGGTATTTCTTTATTCCTTAATGCATATTTTAAAGTAGACAATTTTTCTTGTCAGGATCTCATATCAAGTCTACCATTCATTCATGCATTGAATATTGCTACCATATGTGTAGAGATTCTTGATAAAATCTGCAATATTATTGGTCCTGACCTGGTATCTTGGCTTCAGTCACTTCCCCATCATACTTATAGCTGCATTACATCTGCCTGCTTAGTACCTAGATGGGTTACCGCTTGGGAATACCAGGTGTTGTAAGCTTGGATGTGTGGGTGGTGTAATGAATAATGGCTTGGAATTGTTAATTAGAGAGCTGAGTTTCAATTCCAGTCAGGTTTGTTACATTCACTTAGAAAAGTATGAATCTGACTTTTCTCCCTATGGATAAGACTTGTATCCTGAAACAATTTTTATCCCACAAAAAAAGTATAAATAAATAAAATCATGTACATAGTATTATATTTCAGAATTAAATAACCCATAGAGGTGTTGATATGCCACTAAACAAAAACAACCAACCAACTTTCCCACCGTTATAATATAGCTTCACTGTGCCTTTTCTATAAATATTTTCATGCATATTGTTCTGATGTGCTTTCCTCTTTAAATTATGAATTTAATCACAGTATTAGAGTGGCAGCAAAGTCTCATCATTTTACAGTAGAAATGGCAAGGGATGGAACTGTAAGTTCTATGCTAATAGTTTCTTCTCTTGTGCTCTCCAATTGTGGAAATCTTTTCCGGTTTCTTGCTTTCCTGTCAAGTTTGACTTTTCAAATTTTAAATGCAATTCCAATTTTTATCTTCTGTGTTCTTGATTCCCATTCTTTTATTGTTCTCTTCTTAATAATGTTTTCTTTCCTCATATTATCCCACACTCAGTTACTCCTTGCATCTTAGTGGCTTTATTGCCTTGCTTGAGGTAAAATGATTAAAAAATTGTTGCTTTCAAAATGTTTTGTCCAATCTCTTCTATTGCTTTCATCAGGGGATCAATCTGTAAGATGAGTAAGTCAAACAAATTCAAAGGATTTAAGGAACCTTATAACATGAAGTTAATTTTTACAAGAATGGGTTCCTCATAGAAAAGTGTTTGATAAAAAAACATTACATACAGTTGCAGAAAAGACACTGGTCATCAGATTTGTAGCCAAATGAGAAATGGAAAAATCTGCTTTTATGGCAGATATTATCTGGATGGGAAAAAGGAATCATATAACTGTCTCTTGGACAGAGCATAGATAGAAGATGAGAAAATGAAATCAAGATGCATATATTAACCATGTCGGGTCATTGTAAATTTGTTTATAAAAAATAAGAGATCATTCCTAATGTAAAATTATGTATTTTACAGAAATTTGCTGAGTAAAGAATAGTCTTTATTGCATGCTTTGATTGGTATGGTTTGGTCTATTCAGTACATTTGCCACCATTTCTTTACTGTTTGTACTGTTTCTGAAACTTTTCCTAGACTTGTCTCTTCCTTTATGGATTGTACACCTGAAGAAGACTGGAGAATGTACTGGCTGAAATGTGGTAACAATGAAAATGACAAAAAAATGAAATGCATTCATTTTCAAATTGAAGTAATAAAGTAAAAAATTATGGGAAATTTTGAAGAAATTAAACTTGTTTTGAAAATTAAGAAAATAATGAACTCCTGTATCTTTCTCTAACTAGTAACTGAAAGTAAATTTTATTTAAGCAATTCAAAATTTTACAGTTAAAAACAAATTTAAACTTTCATAGAATTAAATATTTTTTGAAGAAGAAAAATTATGATAATAGTTTATTGGTCATTGGATCATGATCATAACACATGTTGGTCATTGGATCAGGATCATAACACATCTTGGTCATTGGAGCAGGATCATAACACATCTTGGTCATTGGAGCAGGATCATAACACATCTTGGTTGTTGGACCATTATCATAAACCATTTTGGCAATAAACCATCTTTGTCATTGAATCAAGATCATAACTCATTTTGGTCATTGGATGATGAATAAAAATAAACTTAATGAGTATGGATCAAACATGACTATTCTTTAGTCGTCTCAAGAGAAATTTGTGGACAACAGAAAAGAGTTGTGTTTATGTAGCATCTTGTTCTTATTTAAGTGATTGAGAAAAATCGTTTCTACTCACCAGATGTCAGACTTTGAGTTGTAGCCTTCATGTTTCAAGACTTCTGGACTCATATAATAAGGAGTTCCAATAAACGTTGATGCATAGTCAGAAGGGCCCATAAGAATTCTTGAAATTCCAAAATCTCCAATTTTGATCATTTCATTTTGCAAGAAAATATTCCTTATTTTGAAGAAAATAAGATTTTGTGTAAATGGGAAATTATTGTAAAAACAAACAAAAAAAAATGGTAAAGTGAATGTGCAAAAAACAAAGCCAACCAAAAAAGTAACAGACACCTAGCTTAACAAAATACAACTTTACTCAATGCCTATAGTATAAAGAAACTCAAAATGAGAAACCAAATCAAGACAGATAGTGACAACAACCACAAATATGTCTGACTTAAGGAAGACATAATCAGTGAAATGTGAGTGGCCATTGCTGGAGAAGTAAACAAGTTAATAATCATTTTATAATATGGGATACTCTTATAAATGCGCGTATGGCAGCATGAGAGAACAAACAAAACAATAGGTACTGCCCGTAAGGCAAAAATAAAAGAAGACAAGAATTGTTAAGATAAAATTCTTTGTACTTCTAATAGAGAGGATTGAGGTGGAATGCCTCTTTGTGGGTGAGGGAAGCCACATGGAGGATGGGGAGTGTCAGTAGTGCCTGGAATTGATGCGTGTGTTGGGTCAGTTAACCAAGGTCACTGGTGGCAACATTGACAGCTTGCCCACTCACCATGACTGTTGACAGTGTTGTGGGCGACGTTCTTAAAAGCAGACTTGGTAGATCTGGACTAAGCGGTTTTTGTCATGCCTTTTGCTTTATACATTGTAGCAAAAAAAAATAATAAGAGGAAAAATAAGCTAAAATTGTATTAAAAATGATAATGCTTCATGTAAGATATTTGGACAACTTAAGACTATTATGTTTACTAGTAATAGTAGGTGTAAACAAACAAAAAGGTCAGATGGAAAGAGACAAAGAATTGATAATAATAACAATGCTCCAATTAAGAAATCTAAACAATTATCTTTTCAATGATGATGTTTATGATAAGCTATACACTAAATTTAAATGTGTGGTTGTATATCATTGTGTTTAATTGAAAAGTATAATGTTAGGTTTAAAGTAAGAAGTTTAGTCAGGAGAAAAGGATTTATTATTACTTATTGTTTATTGAAAATTTTGTCATATAGGAAATAAATCCTATATATATTTTTCAACCAATAAAATCCCATCAGAAGATTTGTTTAAGAAAAAATAATTTCAAGGATAATTATCACTAAAATACTTGCAGACATATTTGTAGCCCTACCACATGTTATTTTTGGACCATTTAGAAAATAACAATAATAATTCCCATCGCCACTCTTGAAAAAAATTTTTGTACTTTTTATATTCAAAATGTTTATACCTCTATATGAAATCAGATTTTGAATACTCTTACAGTTATAAAAATAGACGCCTACTGCTTCTCGGGGCTCACAACAATTGTGGAGGCCAGTTTGATCTACACATGTGTACACCCATGCACACAGACACAATAGAAGAGAGATAGCCAGCAGCCAATGACTAAGGCCTTGTTTGTGCACACAATAGAAGGGATTAACCAGCAACTATCTACTAAGCCTTTGTCTACAAACTCACAAACACATTGGGCTGATCCTCATAAAGTAAGTCTCTTCGCACATTTAACACTGAACTAAGAACACTTAATTACTTTATAAAACAAACTTCATGGCAAGGAAAAGTGAATATTTTATTGCTATTGTATATTTCTGAAAAGAATATATAAATGTTATTTCAACTGAGGTCCTGCTTCTACTTTTCCTTCAGAAAATAAACCTTTTTATCTCTCATTTAAAAGATGTATTGTTGTTGTTAATATTTGGAATCCTAACACTCAGATAATAAAAACCTAGGCAGCCTGGATCCCAACAAACAATTCTGTTTGCTGAACATTTTTACCAATCAACCATGACCAATTACTCGACAAATAAATTCAAAGAAAGCATTGCTTGGGAAGTTTTATTCAGTTGAAAAGCCATAAAATATGGCACCAGGCTGTTGCCTTTTATATGTTTTGAGATATACTTATGAAGAGTTTCATAAGGGTAGATAAAATGTTTTTTTATTACCACAATCCCAATATTTCATGCTGACAGTTCTTTAAATTTACTTTGATTACAACTTTGATATTCAAATCTAAAATCAATAAATTTTTACCAAACTTACCGAGATTTGAGGTCTCTGTGCAGGATGCGACGGGCGTGAATGTAGTCAACTCCAAGTAACAATTGCACAAACCAATCCAACACTCTCTTCTCACTGATTGGCTGCTTTTTCTTCTGACATCCTTCAATGTATTTATCAAGGTCTCCTCCCTAGTTAGAAAGCAATGTAAAGGGAGTTAATCCATATTTCTGGAAGTTCAAATTAGGTCCCTTATTAATATTTATTTTCTTATATCCATATTTAACATCAGACAAGGATGAAATAAAAGCAGACTATGGAAAAGCTAATAGGGTTTTCGGTGCATGTGCATCTGGCAAAACCAGGTATAGTGTCTGCTAGATTCCAAACGTTATTTTGTGGATACTTATGTTTAGTAAAGCTGTTTTGTTTTTTGTAAACAGCATGAATTATGTCTACCAGAATGTGTATTCGAGAGACTTAATAAAGAAAAGCACTTAATAAGGACAACACATGTCTTTTATTAAGACTCTCAAATGTATAGGCTGGTAGATGCATTTCACACCATTTTAAAAAAACAGGATATCTATTCAAACATGGATTTTTTTTTTAATCATTTCAGTTCAAGCAAGGCTATGAAAGTGATGGAATAGTCCATATATACCTTTTCACACCTCCGGAATAATACACGCTACCACAAAATTACCTATTAACCAATCAACATCCTAGTTCTAGTGAACTAGACTTTTCATTGGCTCAAACTGTAGCAAATTCACGCAAAATATCTTTTTGCGCCGTTTGGAGTTGATTTCTACTTCCAGAACAAAATAAAAGGAAACTTTCAGATCGATTCAGGCAGTCAGAATTTCATCCTGGAGAAGTGCCAAACGAATCCATGCCAGTAAAAATCATAACCAGCTACATTTTTGCCGCGCAAATTTCTCTGACTCAACACATGCTGCATTTCCCTCTACCAGGAACAATTTCTTACAATACTAAAAAGTGATAATAACTCACTACTAACAAGTATTCGTAAATATTCAATCAAATATCTAAATAATTAAACTCCTACTTTATTCACGCATACAAACTACACACATTTTCTGTATAAATAATATTGCCAATATTGTAAATATAAATGCTAATTTATTCAATGAGATCCCTGTGGTTGATGTTGCTGAAGAGCTTAGTACTGTTAATCTTTCCTTTATATATGATCCTTATATAATTTTTATATTAAATTAATTTTATTGTTAATATTTTATTTTGCTTAATATTTTATATTAATTAATTTATATTAATATATTAATATTTTATTTTACTTTATTAATATTTAAAATTAATATTATTTGTTATTAATATGTTATATCTCGTGCAAGATATAATAAACAAAGTAAACCCGAGTGTGGTTTTCAATAATAATTTTATAATCGGATGTAGGTATGTCAAAATACAGAGACAGAGTCAGGAGTAAGCTAACCGCAATGGTGTTAGTAAACGAAGACCTTTTTATACTGTTCACTGTGGTCGTACTTTATCGGCAACCAGTCCGTCCATTATCGTGAATGGGGAAGTTGGGTTATCTCATCACAATATATTAAATTAATTTATATGATAAATTAAATTATAATTTTATATATATATATATATATATATATATATATATATATATATATATATATAATCCTTCCTTTATATATCCTTCTTAGTTTTTATTCAACTTTTACAATGAAAACATCTGGTAGTGTAAAAGGGATGCTAATTTACATTGCTTGATCTCATTTTCTGCTAGTTTTAGAGTTGTTTTTCTATTTTTAGTATTTTAATATGATGTAGATTACTGTAGACATTCCAATTCTCAGCTTTAACAAAATTTCTAAAGTTAAATTGCTCCATAAACCACTAAAATATTACCATGGACTTCCAATTTGCTATTTTTTTATGTAGACCCCCCAGTAATGTTACATTGACCCCCAGGGTTTATGTGACTGAGAACCACTGAGCTGGATATTACTATTGCCACTAATAATAAGAATAATAAAAATCCTTCATCTTAGGGATTTGGACAAATACAAGAATGATGAAGAATATGTTGTTCAAAACAGCAACAAAGCAATAAAAAATTAAATGAAATAATGAAAATACTTAATGCCAGAGATTCAGAAAACTTACCTCACAATATTCAGTTATGATACAAAAAAATTCCCTGTCAATGAATTTTCCCAGAAATTTGACAATATTTGGATGAGAGAGTTGAGAAAGTAGACGCGCTTCATGTTCTGCCACCACAGTCTCATTTGGTTGCAGTCCACCAACTGGGATTTCTTTGAGAACTTTCAGGCAACTACAATATTAAAGTAAAAAATATTTGGTTCTTGTTAAAGAGCAGAAAAAATAACAATAATCTAGAAGTGTCCTTATTTATTTTCTTTTAAATATATGATTTGTCCAAAAATAATTTTAGTCTAAAAATATGATTTGTCCAAAAATAATTTTAGTCTAAAAATATGATTGACCCAAAAATAGGTTTGGTCTAAAAATATGATTGACCCAAAAATAGGTTTGGTCTAAAAATATGATTGACCCAAAAATAGGTTTGGTCTAAAAATATGATTGACCCAAAAATAGGTTTGGTCTAAAAATATGGTTGACCCAAAAATAGGTTTGGTCTAAAAATATGATTGACCCAAAAATAGGTTTGGTCTAAAAATATGATTGACCCAAAAATAGGTTTGGTCTAAAGGTTTGTGGAAGAGGAGATCCTCCCTGGGTGGCAAGCTTTTAGGGCAGTATTAGGGGATTTAGTATTCTGAAGTTGCATGCAAAATTAGTTATGCCATTTTTTCCTCTCATTCCACTTGTAATATTTTTATTTAAATTTGAATCCCATAACCAATTAGGCTCAAAGGGGCATCATATGTACTTGCAGCCATAGCAACAGTAGGTGTGTCTAGGGTAAGATAGCCTAATGAAGCCCATCCCTCTTTAAGTTGGATTTGAATTCAAAGTTTTCCTTCTCCAAGACTTGTTATCACCTCAAGGCAAGTGAGGCCAGTCTGCTATTTAACCCACAGCCGGGTGGAGCAAAGATGGATTCATAGCTTTCATATGGATATTTGTGTGAAAGTGGGTATAATGAATTCAACCGGAATTTGAACTTTTTCCTTCTGGGTCACAAAACTTTACATGTCTGAATTCCCTTGGATATTTACTAAGAGCATTATACTTTAAGTCATATATTATTAGAGGATTTGCTTCATAATACCTATATTATTAATGTAATAATATTTTATCCAAAAACTGATAAAAAATCAATTAATCATTTCATCCCCATGCAAGGCAGTAAAGTCACTAAGGCACAAGGGGTTGCTGAGTGTGAAAGAATAAAAAAAAAAGAAACCTTATTAAGGAGTGAAAACAATAAAAGAAGTAATCAAAAAAACAGTTCATAATGATTGACATAACGAATGATATTACATTTCAATTTTTGAAGATCAAATTTGGTTGGAAAGCAAGAAGCTGTACCAGAGTTCCACAAATGAGTAGTGTGAAGAAAAGAAACTGTTATCATAGAACTTATGGCTACATCTAGTTATTTTGACTGTAAATTGTTGAAATCTTTTTGCTAAAAATTAAATTTTTAAAGTCTTTCGTACCATAGTGAAGAGTTCATCCAAACAATTACCATGAAAGAAATATTTCTAGAAATGGTACAGGGAAGCTAAATTCTGTTTCTTTCTCATCTACAATTAAAACAAAATGGTTGTAATTATAATCTATCTCTGTATTTTGCAGGTATCCAGTTTTGGAATGTTTTTTTAAAGGTGTGGCAAATTCTGTGACCAAATGCAAATGCTGCCTGGCAATATTGTCAATTGAAAGAGATCTTTTTTTTCTTAGTCATTTCTCCCCTAGCAAGATAATAAAACTGCTAAGATGCAAGGGGGGTTACAGAGTGTGAAAGAATATGAGAAAAAATAAAACATTATTAAGGAGAGAGAACAATAGAAAGATCGGGAATTAAGACAAAAGAAAACAAATGACATTACATTTAAATTTTTGAGAATCAAAATTGTCTGGAAAGCAAGAAACCAGAAGAGAGTTCCACAGGTGAGAAGTACGAGAGAAGAAACTGTCAGCATAGAATTTGCAGTTACACCTAGCAGCCATTTCAACTGTAAAATGATGAGACCTTGCCGCCAATCTAGTACTATGCTTAAATTCATCATGTCTAGGTGCCATAAAGGAAAATTCTCGAGAACAATTACCATGAAAGTATTTATAGAAAAGGTACAGGGATGCGATGTTACAGTGGTGGGAAAGGGACAGAAGCTGAGATGCCAAGTTAGGACCAATAACATTGCAGATTCTTGTCTTTTATCAAGAATCTCTAAATATATAGCAGAAGCACCGGACCAGATTTGGCAGCAATATTCCATGCATAGACCGATGGTAGACTTATAAATGTGTAAGATAGATTCTGGTGGGGAAAATTGTCTAGCACAACACATTGAGCCAACTTTCCTAGCAACAAAAGAGAGTGGAGATATTAAGAAAGAAAGAATAGAAAGAAAGAAAGAAAGAAAGAAAGAATAGAAAGAAAGAAAGAAAGAGTGGGGAGATATTCAGAAAGAATGGGGAGATATTCAGAAAGAAAGAAAGAATGGGGAGATATTCAGAAAGAAAGAAAGAAAGAGTGGGGAGATATTTAGCAAGAAAGAATATGGATATATTAAGAAGAAAGAAAGAAGGGGGAGAAATTAAAGTGTGAGGAGATATTAAGAAAAATATGAAGGTACTAAAAAGAAAGGAAAGAAATAAAGAATGGGGAGATATTTGGAAAGAAAGAATGTGGAGATATTAAGAAAGAAAGAGTGGGGAGATATTTAGCAAGAAAGAATGTAGAGATACTAAGAAGAAAGAGTGGGGAGAATAAAAAAGAAAGAGTAGGGAGATATTAAGAAAGAAAGAATATGGAGATACTAGAAAGAATATGGAGATACTAGAAAGAAATAGAGAGAGGGGGTAGGTATTAAGAAAGATAAGGGAGATATATTAAGACATAAGATCTCTGAGACACCTGCCAGTAAAGATCTTAGTTGAGCAATTGTTATAGAGACAGGTCATGTTTCTAAAAATGTAGTGTTAATAGTCATACATAGAAACAAGTTGAATGGTTGTATAATATCTGTTGTTGTCCAAATTAGAATTTTCAAAATCCCATCCAAAAGAAAGAAAAGCAAAAAACAATTAAAATCTCTTCTGAATGTCTAGGGGGTCTTTATAACAATTAACTCACTCTTTTGTAAATAAATATCTTTTCTTCTTTTCTACTTACTAGAGTTTGAATGAAACACTACAAATATATTTTTATCTGGTGAGGCATCAAATGGGATAGTATTCTGTCATGATTATTTAGGTGCCTGAACTTGTATAAAGTAAATAAATTTCTGAAGCAATTTCGACTTTACAGAATAATCTATTAAAAAAAAGAAAAGGAAAAAAAGGAAAAAGAAAAGGGAAAAAGATAAAGCAATAGAAAAATAAAAAAAGAAAAGAAGAAATAGAAAAAAGAAAAATAGAAAAAATAAAAAGAAAAGAAGAAATAGAAAAAAGAAAAATAGAAAAATTAAAAAGAAATGGAAAAATAAGAAAAAAGAAACAAAAAATAGAAAAATAAAAAAGAAATAGAAGAAATAAAACTAAAAAGAAATAGACAAAAAGAAATAAAAGAAAATAAAGACAAAAAGAGCTAAAAAAAAAGGAAAAGAAAAAATAAAGGCAAAAAGAAATAGAAAAATAAAAACAAAGAAGAAATAAAAATAAAGACAAAAAAGAAATAGAAAAAATAAAGATGAGAAATAAAAATAAAAATAAAGACAAAAAGAAATAGAAAAAGAAATAGAAAAAATAAAAATAAAAGGATAAACAAAAATTATGAAAGAAAAATGTAAAAAAGAACAAAATAAAAAAAACAAATGTGAAAGGAAACAAAAAATAAAGGAAATGCAAAAGAAAAAACCAAAAAATTGAAAGAAAAAATTTAAAAGAAAAAATGTGAAAGAAAAGGAAAAATAAAAATAAAATAAAATGGAATAGAAAAGAAACAAAAAAAGAAAGATAAATGGAAGAGAAAAAATATATGAAAACATAAAAGAAAATTAAACAAAATCCAAAAATCCTTTAGAATATATATTTCTTCCATTATTAATTTTTATTCACATTTTCTTCATTGAAATTTTAGTTGCTGTTTTATGAAAACCATTCATACTATCAATCTGACAGTTATAAGAGTTCTTGTAGCTTAATCAGCAATACAGCTGGTACAATTAACCAATCTTTTCAAGGAAAAAAGGAATGGGAGCTCAATTCCCACTGGGAACTTGTTTTTTATGTCCGAGTTCTCTTTTACTATGGCTTAAAATGTCTTTTTACCAGAATAAAGTGAATGCAGGTTCAATCTCTGCCAAGGGGCACTTTTTTCTTTAATAAAACATTCGAAGTGCCCAGACCATAAGATGTTAATTTTACAGTTTAAAAATAAATAAATAAATTAAAAATAAACAGGGATGCCTGCTCATATAATGTTTATAGTAATATATATATATATATATATATATATATATATATATTGTATATATTGTGGACTCCATATAGGTCCCAGATCAATCAGCTGGATGTCTTCCACAAAAGTTGACTCTGTGCTATGTGTGGCTATACTTTTGATGATAGGATGTCCAATGCTGATCTTCTTGCAAAACACAAGATTGGTGGAATTGAGACTTTCTTGATGCAGTCACAACCTCATTGGGCCGGTCATGTTCCAAAGATGAGTAATGACAGAATAACTAAGGTCTTCATGTATAGCCAGCATAACAGTGGATAAAAGACTGTTGGACAGCCATTACTCAGGTATAAAGACAAGCTAAAGAGTAACCTCTCAACTGTTAATGTGCCTCATACTAACTTTGAGCAAGTTGCCCTGGAGAGGAATAACTGAAGATAATTGTGCCAGACCGGTATCAGTAATTTTGAAATCAGTCATATTGACCAAGTAAGAGACGGAAAGTGTCAGCAAATATTCCTATTGCCATGTTCCAAAATCCTTGTTGTTGCACAATATGTGGACTTGTATACAGATGACTAATAGGGCTGAAGTTTTACACACACACACACACACACACACACACATATATATATTATAAATTAATTGATTTAAAATGTTTTTTTCGCTACACAGTTCTAACCATGTTTCAAAAATGGAAGCTAAAAGCCCTGAATAATATATCTTAAATAAACACTTAAAAAATTTAGACAATGGAAAAATAAAAATAAAAACTGATGAAAATAAACAAAAATTATGTAACTGTAGAAACCCTCGTAATTGCCCTCTACAAAATAAATGTTGCACTGAATCATTAGTATACCAATGCAATATCTCTTCGATTGAAAGTCCTGAAAACATAAAAATATATATAGATTGCACTAGCCATGAGTTCAAAAAAAGATTCAACCAACATCAAAGTTCATTTAGGATAAATAAATATAAAAATCAGACATCTCTATCGAAATACTTCTGGAACCTAAAAGAATCAAATAAAACACCTACAGTAAAATGTAAGTTAATAAGAAAAGCTAGAATATGTAGGTCATTAAATGACCCATGTCCTTTGTGCATACATGATAAACTATATATTACTAAGTTTATAAAAATAAAAATTTACTGAATCAGAGAAATGAAATAGCTATTTTATGTCATTGTCAAAAAACTTTCCTTAAATAATATTTAAAATAAAAATAAATTTATAAAATAGGATCAGGTAATATACATACTTATATTTAACATGAAAAATTAATTTTATATACGGTAAGTAATTCTATTACATTTTCTTGTTTTTTCATTAAAAAAAAATTGTAGTTAATTAAAATGAATTCTAACCTAAACTTCTTTTAAATTTTAAATTGTAATAAAATAAATAAATAAAGTTTACTAAATCAGAGAAATGAATTAGCTATTTTTGCTGTAAGTGAGAAAAAAAAATTTTAGTTAAAAAAAATTTTTTACTTAAATAATATTTAAATATAAAATTTAAAAAAATCGTAATATAAATAATACTTGATAATAATATATATATATAATAATAAATATACTTGATATAGAAAAATAATTTGACTTAATGTAAGTAATTCAAATACATTTACTTCTATTAAATGAAATATAGTCTAAAAAAAAAAAACTAATAATGAAAATATTTTAAAGTTGTAATTAAAATTGTAGTTAATTAAAATGACTTCTAACCTAAACTTCTTTTAAATTGTAATTAAATAAATAAATAAAGTTTACTAAATCAGAGAAATGAATTGGCTATTTTTGCCGTGAGGAAAAAAAAAAAATTTGGCTTAAAAAAATTTTACCTAAATAATATTTAAATATAAAAATTTTTAAAAATCGTAATATAAATATACTTGATATAGAAAAATAATTTTACTTAATGTAAGTAATTCTAATAGATTTACTTCTATTAAATGAAATATGTAGTCTATAAAAACTAATAATGAAAATATTTGAAAGTTGTAATTAAAATTGTAGTTCATTAAAATGAATTCTAACCTAAACTTCTTAAATTGTAATTAAATAAATAAATAAAGTGTACTAAATCAGAGAAATGAAAATTTTACTTAAATAATATTTAAATATAAAACTTTTAAAAATTCGTAATATACTTGATGTGATAATTGTTCCTGAAAGAAATATAGTATATTAAAAATTAAAAGTAAAAATATTTCAAATCGTAGTTAAATAAAAAGTATTCTTACCTAAACACCCCCCAAAATCTTTAAATATACGGGGAAAAAAATGCCGTAAGAATTTTAGCCGTTAACAATAAAAATTTTTAAAAAATCCAGATGACACGCTTTTAACGGATGTTAAATTTCATTGAAAAATACATCCCTACCCACTACCAAAACGTAGCAATAACTGATACATTAAAATATAGACACCGAGACAACCCTCGTCTAGTAAATTGGATTCATCTGTAACCTTGGAAACATGAATTATGATTTTAGCTGTCTTTAAAACCCAGTAATTTTAAAAGTTACTCCAAAATTCGCTTGAGGATGAAATGGAACTAATGTCTTTAATTTAATTACAAAATTAAATTCGGGGTTTTTAGCTTCCATTTTTGAAACATGGTTAGAACTGTGTAGCGAAAAAAAAAACATTTTAAATCAATTAATTTATAATATTAATGCTCTGTAAATTTACATTGAGCACTATTTTGTAAAAATAAAAATATCTATAAGAACACCGGATTATATATCTTACTGTTCTTTCTCTTTATATATATATATATATATATATATACACACACACACCCCAATTGGTAATTGGTAGGGATAATTCCAAGGGGGACATTAATCTAAAGAGAGCAATATAATAATAATAAGTAAAGACAATATGTTGAAATATTTGGTCTGAAGAGATGAATATTTGAATATATTCATGAAATAAATTATAACCAAGATGGATTTTTAAGGATTGTCTTTACTTATATAAAATTCAGATATAAATAAAGGAATGACAAAAGGAAAACCTTTTATGCTGATGCATTTCATTCTTATAGGTTTCTAAATAAAATTTAAAAAAATTAAATTTAATAAAATCTAATTAAAATTCATTTTAATTAAATTTAAAATTTAATACACGTTTCTACATAAAATTTTGACAACTGTCTTGATAAAGTTCCTCAAACAACAAAAGGTTTCCCTCTTGACATTTATTAATATGTATATATAGCTACAGGGTGGGATGGATAAATTGTCGTCTAAATTACGCAAAAATGAAAATAACACTGACATCTCATTTTAACAGATATGTTTACTAAAATTACACAAAAATATCTTAAAATACTTCAGAGTAAATTTATTCAATAAACTCGTCATTGGCTTCAACCATGGCCTCCAGACCACTTAGGGACCTCTTGCAACTCTTCTGGATGGTCTCCTTGTTTAAGTTGGTGAATGCTGCCATAATCCTTGCCTTCAGTTCATCTTTGGTGTTACAAGGAGTTTTGTTGGTCTCTTGCTCAACTGTGCCCCACACATAATAATCAAGGGGGTTGCAGTCTGGAGAATTAGGTGGCCAGATGTAAGGGGTGATATGGTCTCAGAAATTATCTGACAGCCATGACTGGCTCGTGGCCACCTATATCGGTGGTCACGACTGGCTTCTCCTGTTTTTATGGCATGGTCCTGTTGCCAGATATAGGGTCTTCCAGCAGCCACCCTCTTTATAAAGGTTAGCACTACCTTAATGTAGTCCTCTGTGTTGAGTCTGAGGCCCTCACCAACAAATTCAGAAGTTCTTTTCTTACCAGAATGATCAGAAAGTGAGTTTTCCAAGCTGCTGTACCTTGTTAATCATGATTAGACTCAACCAACTCTTTCTGAATCCTCTGCACTGTCCTTAGATTGACACTCAAACACTCTGAAATGTTCCTATTGGAGTGAATGCCAAGCAGTACAGCATGCCATTTCCAAATTTCTGGTGGAGTGAATTGTGTCATTTTGCTCTTTTTGTCACAGTCAGTGCCCAAGTGATCCTACGACACTGTGCAGTTGACAAAATCAAAAACAAACAGTGCACATGTGTGAAATCAAAAATATAAAATGGCAACAATTTACCCATCTCACCCTATATATATATCTCAGGTTATTTCTATGTCTGTACCTATCCATCTATCTAAATTTTGTTCTATCTGTCTGTTCATATCCATCTATCTCCATCTATCTCTCTATTTATCTATCTATTCATGTCTATATTTATTAAGGCCTTCACTTGTGGACCTTTCAGTAGGACAATGCAGCAATCCATAATGCCGGCAGGACAAAGAACTTTTTCATCATAAATAACATGATTCTTTTGGGCCATCCAGTGTGTTCACTTGACCTGAACCCCATTGAAAATGTTTGGGGGCAGATGCAAGCGAAGTTTATAGAAATGGACATCAATTCCAAACAGTGTATGATCTTTGTGAAACCATCTTCATCACTTGGAATAACATTTTAGCCAGCCTTCTGCAGATACTTATATTGACCATGTCAAAGAAATTTTTTGAAGTTATTCACAATGATGGCTGTGAAACGCACTACTAAGATGCCTTTCTGGGCATTTCCTACTCTGTTTAGGTAGACTTCTTTTAGGTAGAGCCTTTCAACTTTTGACTTGATTTAGCCTAATTTACCAGTAGAGCTTTGAAAAATGAAAATAAGAAAAGAAAAATTAAAAACTTTTTAGCATTTAATAGGGAAAATTTGAAATTTTTCCTTATTAAATGCTAAAAAGTTTTATTTTAATTTTTCTTTTCTTATCATTTTTATAAAAATATGTCCCACATCTAGAGTTGGGAAAAATATGTCACACATCTAGAGTCGGAAAAAACCCAAACTAAGTCAGCAACAGCTGAAAAAAAAAAAAAAGAGAAAAAATGGCTAAATGAGCAAGTAAAAAAAA